CAGATTTGATCTAAAACATTCCTTTCGAATTTTATTGGATCCTATGATTTTGATCATCGTTTTTTTACATATACACGGTCCCTTAATGTGTTCTATGATTTTTTTATTATGTATTAGGAATTTGTTGTTGTGGTTTAATTTAGCGCCTTTAAAAACTCTCATAAGTTTCATTAAATTTTAAATTATATTTTTTTTTTATGAAAATTTTGAACCTTGTGAATTTTTTTTTCCATTAAGAAAATTAGTTGTGCCTTGAAGATACTTGCTAAGGTACAAAGTAACATAGAGATAGGTTGTTACCATTTCACAGCTAGCTTTTAGTGAAATTTCAAATTCCATAAAAAAACAAGGAGAACTACAAATTAATAAAACTATGTTGTCATATTTTCCATAAAAAAATCATTTATATCGTACCTCAAAAGATCATAGTAGGCCGTGTAGCACTAAGACACCCTGTATATATAAAAAATAAACAAGTAAATCTTGCGAGACACTAAAATTTGAAGGGAGTTGCACAAATCCAATATATGCACTACACCCAGGGTGTGTATGTATGAATAGTCTTTCCGAAGTCAAATGAACATGTATAAAAAAGTCTAGCAATAAAATTTCATAGGCGTCCCTAAAAAAGTTTTCTGCTAAAGGTAAAAAATTATAATAATTTGTATATGTGTAGAAAATTTCTATTTTATGTTTATTTGACCAACAACATATTTTAATTAATTATGTCCTCAAACAATTTCATTATATTGATGGTAAATTTCGTTTTGTTCCGTTTCAGAAGGTCTCCAAAATGCCATGTTGTAGTAATATCAGTAAACAAAATATCCCTCTTATTTCTCCCTTTCGTAATTGTAATATCAATGATTAATAGAAATAGCCTATAACAAATTAAAATGACCTAAATCACACCAAATTCCGCATTGCTGCACTGCACTGCTAGGCTATTTGTTGACAGCCAAATTTATGGACAGGTGACTCAGTGCGGCTTTGTTTGTGCCGCGTTTGCCCGCGCGCTCATTCTTCAACTGGTTGACTAGACCTGTATATGGGTATGTCTAAATAAAAGTGGGGACAATTTTTTCAAATATTTCAACGCCAAGTTGCTGCGTCAGCGACCAAACCTGTTACATGGCCAACCTCTTGGTTCTTCAGTTGAGATCGGAAAGACTATACTATCATAATTCCCAAAAATTTAATACATACTAAACAAAAAATATATTTTTTATATATTGAAGGCAGTCATCAAAGAGATCTAGGAAATGTCTTTCGCTATATGCTAACATTTTTCAGGATAACAACAACATATTTCACCAAAGACAAAGAAATGTAGACCACTGATCAATACCATGCCTACACAGTTCAAATGCTACATTATAAATATTTTATTTTCGAAATATCGATTATTCACAGCCAGATATGATTGGATATACATATAAAATAGGGTTAAGATGTCAACACGAATTTCCGACCGATACCTAATCGTTATGATTATATTTGACTTACTTACCTTTTATATATGTTTGAAAATTAGATTTTTCCTTAGGTATATGTTGATGTGAGTAGATATACAGGGTGGTCTGTAATCGTTTGTCTCAAAGCAACTGAATTAAAACGTTATTTTTATACACATTCAAATACAACAGCTGTCAACTAACACAATGACAGCACAATAATGATGGCCCCTTTCAAATATAATTTTTGTTTTATTTCCAAGGCCCACTATTGCCATGTTAGTTTTTTTTAGTTCCTGCCGACTGCAGATTGTTTTCGTTGTTTTTGTTGATTGTTCCAAAACGGCTACTCCAGTAAAGAAATCTGTCATAATATTTTTTATATAGAATTTGAAGATTTGTCAAATTATGTTAAGAAAATATGGTGTTGCCGTTGAAAAAAAAATGTTTTAGTACACCGGAAAGTATTATTTGCATATTTTTCTTAATCAAATTACTTCTTACAACTTTAAATTTGGAAATAATAGTTCTATCACTTCAAATAAAAAAGTTGGCATATGTTACGTTTTAAAAAAATTACACTGTATTTTATTTAATAACAATTTCTAATTTTTTCAATTTTTTCTTCTGAAATTAAGTGAACATGTCTAGATATGTGTTAATGTTCGCAACAGTTAATCATATTCTTTGTATTTTAATGCTCCAATAATTTCATTATTAGCGGTATTGAACATTTCATAATATCCAGCCTACTTTCTTCTTTTGGTAGGTACACAAAAAGTGTTCAATTCCATTATTTTACGCTTAGGCGCTCAATATTTTAAATGAAAAATTGTTTACTGAAAAATTATTCATGCGTTGATCATTTATTAAGTTATGTATATAGGGTGTCTTAACAGCTACATCACTGAAAGCACCGATTTATTTCCACTGTATCATTAATTACAAAACCGAAGTCCGAAATCTCATTAACTTCAAATTTAAATGTCTTTGTTGTTATAAAACTTTTATTGAAACGATTTAATAGAGATTATTTTGACATCAGCTATAACGGCTTAAAATTAAAATACCATTTTCAAAAATACTTTGTATACCAGATAGTACACACTCGTCTATTCAGTTGTGAATTATTTTATACAGGGTTGTCCGAGAAACGTGTGCTACTGTGCAAAGATCTAGTAATGAGACAAATATGAAGCTTTTATAAATGATTAACGTTTTCTTAAAAAGTAAAATAGCAGGATACAACTTTTTATAGGTTACTTTGAAGAGCATAAAAATAGCTACATTTTGACACCAAAAAGAGTTCTATATCTTTTTTTGTTATCAAGTTATTCACAAATTAGTGAGCAAAAAATAAATAATGATAATGAATTGAGGAACACGACGCTAACGAAAAGACATTTAGGTAATTACCAAAAAAAAAAAAACGTTTATAAAAGAACCTGAGCACGCAGCGAGGATTAAATTTCTGTATTGAAAATAATGGTATGCCGTTCGAGCATTTATAAACATCTTTACGTGTGTTAAAATTTGTTATACATTGTCGTATTATACAGATACAGCAAAACATAATTAATTAGAATATCAAAACTTTTTCATACCAAATACATATAAAATTATTTCTCTCACGTTGATCAAAATTTACAGTTTTGCACTACCAACTTTGTTTTTATTACGTGGGTACTTTTTGAGTTAAATTTTTAAGTTGTATAAAAATAATAATCTTACTTCTAAAACAAATAAAGAACAGACAAGTTTACAACCCTTGAAAGAAATGTTTTTAAATATTTCTTTAGTTACTTTTACATTAGTTATTATATGTATTAAAATATTTAAAATTTATACTATAAAAATTACTATTCTTTGTGACTTAAAAATTTAACTGAATATACTGCTCAAACAAAAAAATTATTAGGACAAAAGTTGCAGGGTTTTGAGTGAGCGGTGAACGGTGACCTTGCCCATGACCTTGAAGGTCATTTAGATGTCAACTTGAAAATTTCAAATGGAACCCTATACCTTTGACCCCGAAAATGGAAATTTTTACGTTCGGATATGACCTTAACCATGATAGTCCAAGCATTATAGAGAAATGCTTGCAGAAATTATTACCTGGACAAAAAAATATGACCGTATAGAAAATTAAATTTTAAATCGAGTTTCTTGTTCTTTAAACTCGATCCAAAATGGCGAATGTGGTTAAAAAAAAACGGTTTTTCTAAAATAACTAAAAAAATATAGCACCGATTGAAAAATTTTAAATGAGAAAGTTGTAGATTTTAAAAAGACCTATCGACTGATTTTTTGTAAGTATCGATTGCTTTGTTACTTTTCGAGATATATCGAAAAAACCGTTAAAAATCTTCTCTTTTCTCTTCTTCTATAACTCGTTTACATTTACGTTCCCATACTTGCTATTTACTGCAAGCATAGCCCGCGGCAAGCCAAAAAGTACATTTTTGAAAAATTAAAAAATATTAATTATTTTTCGAGATATATCGAATTTTTAAAAAAAAGGCGCTCTCGAAAATTGGCTAGATCTTCTCAGCGGATAGCCAAACATTAACGATTTTCAGTTTATTTTCTTCGTAAAGAGTTATATTATCATGCTGTTAAAAAATGTTGACGATTTTATTAATTTTAAGGATCAAAAAATGACTTTGAAAGAGTTGCACTTTTTTTGGGTATGTTTTTTTCAAATAACTATTTCAATTTTTATTTTATGAAAATGACTTTTAAAGAAAGAAACTGCTGACATTTTTTCACGAATTAAAAAATATGTTTTTCTACGACCCTCTGGAGCTGAGATAATTTTTTTATTTAAAAAAAATTTGAAGACCCAATTAACATTTTACAGCGATGCGCTTGATGGAGGTTAATATTGAATAAACTGAAGCGTGCAAGCGCTGAGTGCGTCAGCTGGACCGGCCGGAGAAGTAGGGGGAAGCGGCGCGCGCTCGCGCTGAAAACTGATGACGTGCATTCTAAATAGCTCGCGCTTGCAAAATCTTTGATATCTCGCCTTCTGAACCATGTACAAAAATTCTTTTGTACTTAATCTGGGGTAGCTAAACACGAATATTATAATCATTTTGGCCTTAGAAGCAAAATAGTCCCGTAAATGTTTAGTTTTTATTTAACTTAAATTTTTTTTTGTTTTTGTCCTAATATTTTTTTTTGTTTGGGAAGTATTTTCCAAGATAGAGGAGGAGGGGATCCAAACTATTTGAACACCCGGTATGTTTATATTCAGATACATACAAGTTCGATTCATTACATTACCTACATGTCAACTAGTATCTCTCATTGTACCGAAGTATCGCAAAATATTTAAAAGAATTGTACAGACCGACACTAATAAGTTTGCGTCTGAGATAGCTCCGGCCATAAATGCGCACTAGACACGATCCAGATAGCTGTTATCCCAGATCCCAGCGCCTATGTCTTATCTTTATATTTCTACTCTTTCGTTCTAGTTTCAAGTTGACATTTTTGTATTTATGGCAGACATTATTAAACAAATATTTTTTATTATTGTTACAGATTGCCGGTGCAGCAGTACTGGGAGTGGGGGTGCTGCTGAAGCTGAAAAACAATGACATTCAGAACTTCATTCCTGAGAAGTACCATCTGGGGCTGCCACCAGTCTTACTGATAATTATAGGTTCGATTATTTTCGTTACGGCCTTCTTCGGATGTTGTGGGGCGATAAAAGAGAACACCTGTATGCTGACAACGGTGAGTAGTGTGGCAGTCGCTTAAGAACAAGTTTAGTCAACATTGTAAGTTCTTTTTAAATGTATCATATTTATTTTTAAAAGATTTAATGCTTCCTGAAGTTACAATATTGCTAGGAAGCTGATTCCATTGGTTAAACACTTCCCAATTCATCTGCCGCACGACCGTTTTGGTCATATTGGCGACATGTGGGATCAGGTATTTGCCGTTGATTAGTCGCATGGAGTCGCCGTAAGTGTTCGACATAGAGTTCGGTGTTGACGGTTTGACTGTTTGATAAGAGTTCGTAATAAAGAATCCATTTCCAATTCCACCAGATGCATAACAATGTCTTTCGAGGATGAAGTTCTGGTCTTGTTGGTGGAGTTGCTTGTTTGTTGGGACTACGTACAGACACCATTTGTCATCACCAGTGACAATACTATGAAGAAAACTTTCAATATGACCACTTGTTGATCGATGATGACAGAGCAAACCAACTGCAATTGCGAAGTGTTGATTGTTATTGTTTTCGTTCAAAACTTGTTGGACCCAAGAGTCTTTCAACTTTTCCCATTAAATGCTACAATTTTCTGATCACATCCCATATCCTGAGCTAATTCTCTTGTTGGTTGTCTTGGATTTTCGTGTAGGAGTCTATTCAATTGCTCTTCATCAAATTCAGGGCGTTCAGGATTCATGTCTGTAAGGTTGAAATCACCTTCATTGAAATGTGAAAGCCATCGACGGGACGTTCGTTCATTCATCTCATCATCACCATATACCGCACAAATTTCCCGAGCAGGTTGAGCAGTTTTAACGTTCTTTCCATTTCGATTAAAAACAAAAAGAAGCAGGTGCCGAAAATGAAAACTAAATCTAACGAAGCAACCAAAAACTCTGGTAGAGAGAAAAAAACGGACATTACTTATTCCTCAACCCATTAGAAATAGATGAAAACCATATCGCTTCTAATTCTACGTTCGGATAGTAGATGATTCCAGGATTCACTCGTTTTAGGTCTGGTTGCTCAAAGCAAATACTCTAGTGGATCTGCATTGAATATTTGCTAAATTGTTCATTTCCCTGATGAAGCAAGACGACCATCACATTAGTATATTCCACTATATGACTAATGTGGATTTAAATAATAAAGATCATAGAATAAGACAAGGACTAGGAAAGCTTCGAAAAATATATAGTACCTGTGATTAACTTTTCTGTGATTTTGGAAATCTGACTGAACCAAGAGAGACCAGAAGTTATTGTCACACCCGGATCGTTCCGCTCCCTTACTACTTTAACTCGGGTTCCATCAATGGCGAAATAGCTGCGGATTTTTGTTTCTATGAAGCACGAGACATTCATTTGTGTTTAATGGAATTAACCAAGTACTGCACCAATATCCAATTTCTGCAAGACTATTTATTAAAATTATGAGTAATAGTTATAAGGTGATCACGATCCGCTTAATGCAATACAAGAGAAGCAGACCAAGAACAGACCTTTGCGGAACACCACGTTATGCCTAATGAAAATAAGAAAGACCGGATCAAATGCAAGACACCACTGATTTACATTTGAACATTTGACAACAGATTGGTAGTAGTAAATGTATCTGGAATGTTGTGATGATGGCAATACTACTGTATGAGGTCTGTTTAGAAAATAACGGAATTTTATACATTTATTGGTCCTCGCAAAGTAGTCCTGGATAGCTTCATTTGAAATGGTCTTTAAAGTCTGTGACGAATTTGCCTTGATGTCATCAATAGCCTGAAAATGGCGTCCTTTAAGCGGAAATAAAAAAAAATCACAAGGAGCCAGGTCTGGCGAGAAAGGAGGGTGAGAGAGGGCAGTATCTTGAATTTATGCACAAAACTGACCAATTGACAAAGCTGGTGTGCGGGACATTGTCATGGTGCAAGAACCATGAGTTGTCCCGTTACAACTCTGATCTCTTATTACAATTTTTTTCACGTAATCGTTGTAAAACACCTTTATAGTACACATGGTTCACTGTTTCACTTTGAGACAAAAATTCAAAATGCACAATTCCATTAAGTCAAAAAAAAAAAAAGTGAGCATCACTTTGACATTGGATCGAGTCTGAGCCTTCTTGGGATGTGGAGATCCGTTGCCAATCCATTGTGTTTTGTCTCAATGTTGTAGCCGTAAACACAGCTTTCGTCTCCCGTTATGATCCTTTGAATGAATGTTTCATAGTCATTGGATTGTTCAAGAAGTTGCCGACAAACATCCACATGATTTTCTTTCTGTTGTTCGGTCTTCAAACGATGAACTTTTGCTGCAACTCGATGCATGTTCAATGTTTCAGTAAAAATTTCTAAATTTTCTTTTCTTCTAACTAAAATGGGAAATTCAATGGTGGATTTTGCGTCACGAATCACAAAAAAGTTCCCCGTATAATCAAATAACAGATGGCGTCGGTGAATGTAATTTAATAACCTACAATGGTACTGTTTGTTTTATGAGCTTTCCTGCGATATTAGTTACACCCTGGTGCTATTAATCCATAATATCTTAAACAAATTAACGGAGTAACGTATCGATTCGTCTGACCTTTGTCTGTAATGGTAAAATACATCAAATCAGTGGTTAGTGGGGCATTTTACGACATGATTATTTTATCGCGTGAAAAATCGCCCTTTACATAAAGCATAATTTGCTAAACTGCAAGCACGCAAACGCATCTGTTCTCAAGGAAACTGTGTAATAATTATAAAATTCAAATACGTAGCAATTTTACAGAATGCTTAACGACCCGAGAATGGCGATTAAAAGGTAATTTTTTATTACTTCTGTTGGCAAAGTGTTCGTTTAAAAACGGTAACGTAAATTATCATTGAATACATTTGAATATTCTGTAACAATGTTTGCCTATAAATAGGTTCGTCTAGAAGAGTTTTCCACTAAGAGAAACAACAGCAGTTTTATTGAAATCAACAATTGCTTTATTGGCTTAAAGTTAAAAAAGTGAATATGTACTTTTAATTTTGACCAATAACCAATACCAGTAATAATAATTTTTGTAATTTATAATTTCTAACAATTACTTAAACATTGTAATGAAAAATAAAAATATTTAATCTTTTAAATCACAATTTACTTATAATGAATGTTCAAAATGTCTTCGTTCTGTATACACAGATTTATTCGTTTTCTTAAACTGTTAAACGTGTGTAAACGGTTTACATATATAGAAGTGTAGAAGAATAGCTGAAAAATGGTAAAATTCAACAAAATCAACCCTGCAACCTGTTAAAATCTTATAACTCCACAACCTTATGATCCCGAACGAGCCCGACAAGCCGTAAAATGATAACTCGCATCCGTAAAAATACATAACCTCAAAATTGGATGTGCCCAAAACCCAAAAACCCAAAATAAGCAGCGAATAAACTTACACATAGGGCACAAACCTTCATTTATGAATAGTAAACTCTTTTGTTTTGAAGTTTTGGGATTTTAGGGTTATTCAGCTTCGGGGTTTTTGAGGTTTCAGATTGAGGCCTTGTCGTGTTTTCATGTTATGGGGTTTCGGGGTTTTAGGCTGGCATTTGACCACCCCCCCTAATTAATTAGGTTTTCCAGGTTTCCCTCATTCCTGCACTGAATGGTGGTTAGGGCCTACCAACATAAGTCGTTCCTGGGCGCAAATGCGGCCTGCATAATAATAATATGCCGCCTCCTCTCCCGCACAAGTATCCGACTTATGGGCTAATTCTCGCAGTTAGAATGAGGAGTAGAGATATTATTATTATTATTCAAAAACTAAGGTTTGTGCCCTATGTGTAAGTTTATTCGCTGCTTATTTTGGGTTTTGGGCTCATCCAATTTTGAGGTTATGTATTCTTACGGTTGCGAGTTATCATTTTACGGCTTGTCGAGCTCGTTCGGGATCATAAGGATGTGGAGTTATAAGGTTTTAACAGGTTGCAGGGTTGATTTTGTTGAATTCTACCATTTTTCAGCTATTTTTTGAGGTTAGAAAAAACTCTAACGTGATGGGACCAAATGAGTTGCAGATTCGGTTTCAGCGATCCAAAAAACATATATTACGATAGGTTTGGCCGTCCTGTGTAATCTAAAGGAGTTAAGTCCGGAGATCTTGGAGGCCATAAGCCTCGACTAATAATGCGACAGTCATAAAATTGTCTTAGGATATAGTGTTGTATTAGCTGTGTGTCCTCTTGCCCCATCTTATTGAAAGTAATAACCATTGTGCAATTCGTCATAATGTAGCCGATTTAAAAATGGCTGTTTTGTCTATATCGCTCAGTAGTAACATTATATTCAAAGTAAATAGGTCCAATTACGAGTATTCTTCACCTATTCCTATTTTAACAGGATGTAAAATCGATAATTTTTTGAATTTATGTATCCACTAAGATGAAACCATGCCTCATCGGTAAAAAAAGTTATATCTAAAATATTGTTACCGTTTAAGTTATTGTTAAACCTGTTACAATAGTTACAATAATTTAGAAGATTAACGTGAAAGTTAACTAAAAAATAAATACAACAGCAAGCACACACGGGAAGCACAGACGAATCTAAATTGACATATTATCGTGTCGGTTGGGAATCTAAGAAAACGGAAAGTAATTTTGATCAAGTGGAAGTAAATTTTAATATCTTTGGTAACATTTACGGTTTTATATTTTATGGAATGTTTGTGGGAAATCAACAATGCATTTTTATAGATTTTGCTACATAGTTTGTCCAAATACAAATTAATGCACACGTAACAAGTTTATCATATACATATACGATAAACAAATTCCAATTTTTGTCACCCATTTAGAAAACTATAGATTTAAGTTGAAACAACAAGATAAATCTAAGTTAATGGTTATAAAATCACTGTAGACAAAACTATTTTAAATTTTTGTAAATAAATAATTACTCATTACTCATATCATAGACAATAAATATTTTATGTACTAAAAAACAAACTACTACTTCTACTACTTTGAAATAAGACCTGTTGTTTAGTGTGCTCATTTATAAGATTCAGTTTTAACTTTTTTTTTGATAAGCTTTAAAAAAATTTGGTACTTCTAGTTCTCCATATAGATGGTATTCTTCTAATAAATGTTCTTTCTATTTTGGTGTTTGTATAAGTTTTCGTCTCAATTAGTTTAATTGTTTTTCTGTCGATTTTCCCGTAATCAACATCACTGTTAATTAAACGAAATGATGGTGGTATTTATATTTCATGAAATCGATACCCACTTAATTAGATATAGCGTGCTCTTCCTCTTCACATAACTCATATCTATCAAATTACAAATAAATGACTTACAATGGTATTTTTTATCCTACTGTAGTAATTGATAATTATTGTTTTGTTGGGCGTTATCGAAGAACATGGAAATCTCGGGTCAACACTGACGGGAACAGCTGTTTACCTAATAATGTTCGCTAATCAAAGTTAGCGAGCATTGTTCTCGATCTCTTTTAGCATATCGGTTAACATGAAGCGTTTACATTAAAATAAACAGCCAAATTACCAATATATTCAATTAAGTCCATAATTTATTCAAATAAGATAATTAACATGTGAAATTAGGAACTTCTACCAAAGATTGTTGTTAGTTGTTAACTTAGAAATGACATTTAGAACTTCTATCTTTGCAAAACAATCAAGTGACAAGACATAAGTAAGCTGGTATGTATGTGAAAAAATTTAATATTCGTTGAGTAGTTCAGAAAAATGTATCAAGATATTATATTTTATTCCTTTGCTGCATTTATATAGTTTTTTATACCAATAATCAAATACTTTATTTAAGTCTCTTATTTCACCCTGCAACAGCTGCATTTTCTTGTGTATATACATAACTTTTTTATGCAAGAAAAAATATGGAAAGATACTTAACAAAAATTGTAATAACTTTCAGAAGTTTACCATCTACAGATGGAACATTAGCTAACATTGCTTACGTGAGTGTATATTCTGAGTTACACTATCACTGATGAACAATGTTAGCAAAGTATGGATTTTTACTAGCATTCATAATAACCTTTTATCATTGTTCGTGAACGAAATTAAAATTGCAAAACTAAAAGGGACGAAACAATTGTTTTAGTTGTCAATATGTGCAGTTCAGAAAATTTTCTGTATAGGAAGATACCAAAAAATATCTTCAATCATGTCTTCTTATAGAAATAAGACTTCAAATACGAGTCAAAATTTAAAAATAACCACTACTCAGTGTTTTACAGTTCGTGTTATTTTTTTAGTTTGCTATTATCCTGTTGACGCTACTGATCATCCAAGTAGCTGTGGGAGCATACGCGTTCTTACAAGTTGGAGATGCGCAAGATTTGAGATCATCGGTGAGGCAAGTTGTGGAAAAGGAATTTCTTCAATACAACACATCCAAGACCAGCCAACAAGAATTTGATTTCCTTCAGGAATTCGTAAGTACATATTACTAGCGGAGTATTACGTAGGTACACATATAATAGACAATAAGCAGTGAATTAAAAAAAAAGATTTTAATTTCGTACACAGAAATAAAATTATAGAAAAAATTATTGTACTGTTGTTTAATTAGAGTACAATAATTATATTACTGTTAATTAATAATTGTGTTTAAAATGTTGTATTTACTGTCCTAAAACACTGTTAAATAATATGTTTACTTTCTGTTTTTCTACAGAATACACAAATCTGTGTTAAATAAATACCAACAAAGGTCTGTACTGTCATATTTTTCTAAAATAATGTATATTTTCTAGAAGTAGTTTTGAAATAATGAAAAACAATATAACGAGCGTTCAAATAAAAACGTGGTCGAAGTTGGCTCTGACACATTGGACGTAGGGAGTAGCTTATAGCGACCAACTTAACCTCATTTCTCAACGAGCTGTATAGCAGCTGTCAGTTTCAATAACGTTAATGACTATATAACTTTATTTTAAAGAATAATCGTGATAACAATAACAAACAATTAAAGGAGCTGCGGAAAGTGTCCCCCTCCTTGTTATAACAATAAATTAAAGCAGCTGCTGAAAGTGTCCCCCTCCTTGTTCCAAGCACTTTTCACACCTGTTCCTCAAAGAATTAAAGACATTTTCTAAGATGCTCGGGGTATTGTTAATTTCACGAATCTTGTCTATAAGTCGAGCCTGCAGATGGTTTAAATCAGGAATAGGCAGTTCAAAAATAGTGTTTTTAAGGTAAGGCCACAAAAAGAAATCACACGGCGTAATATCACATGACCTCGGTGGAAATTCATGTTCAGCATTGAGACTTATTAGTCGATTTTGGAAAACTTCCCTCAACATATTCATCGTCTCGCCTGCCGTATGTGCCCTTGCGCCATCTTGTTGAAAGTAAAAGTTTGTAATTTCGTTTTCTTCCAGCTGGTTAACAAAAGGAGCGATAATTTCTTCTCTATACCTTTGCGCAGTAAGAGTACCATTAAAAAAAATAGGTCCATAAATCCTCCTTCGATTGAGAGCACACCAAACTCCAATTTTTTGAGCGTGTAGAGGGCCCTCGACAAAAAAGTTATCTGGTTTTTCAGAAGACCACATTCTCATATTCTGTGAGTTTACGTAACCACTTAAATGAAACCAGGCTTCATCAGAAAAAAAGGTGATATTATGAAGTTCACCGTAGTTGTTTAAAAACCATTCACAAAATACAGCCCGTCGCGGAAAATCAACTTCATGAAGTTCTTGCTGACAAGTTAAACGATAGGAGAACAAACGCAAATCTTTTTTTAACACTGTGTGGCAGGTACCGACTGATACTCCCACCATTTGTGATAAAACACGTACAGAAGTTCTTGGCGCATTTTCCATTATTTGTTGGACATTTTCTTTTAATTCTTCAGTCCGCTTTTTAGGTCGGCCGCTTCCTTCTTTTCTTGTTACACTGCCCGTTTCACGAAAAACATTAACACAACGCTGAACTGCACTTTGAAAAATTTTGTACTCAACAACGCCGGGAAATTGATTTTGAAATTCTATGAAACATTCCTCAATAGAATACTTCCATATTCCATCAATCTTGCGTCCATTTCTAAAGTAGGACTCTATGATAAACACTTTTTGTTCTTGAGAAAACACCATTTTAAAAGCTTTTTAAAACGAAAATATTCAAATTGATAGCGGCGATATAGCGCTTTAACAGATGACGTTTAAGTTCATTTGCTATACGCTACGCCCTACGTCCAAATTTTCAGAACCAACTTGACCACGTTTTTATTTGAACGCTCGTTACTTACCACATATTATTACGCGTGCAAATTTTAACACAAGTCTATGAAGGAAATAGTACAGTTTTGAAATAAATCACGTACAGTACCTATTGAAGTATTGTTGTCGACTAACAAATTTGGAAAGGTCTGTTAAAACAGATTACAACTTCGTACGTCATGTCAATAATATATTACAGCTAAATGTCAATAAACAATAAATCTTGACACCGTATTGACATCTTACTCAAAGAACACTCAGACAGAATAGCTGCAAAAATATTAGTGATATGTGATATGTAAAAATAAGAAGTTATAATCATCTCTATTGAAATATAAATCGCAGAATTCAGTCATTTTATTGGAAAAATTGTAATACGTTTTTTTTGTGGAATTATACGAAAATATTTCTTATGTGTTAAATCAATTGTGATAGTTTTTTTGCAAAAAATGAGTGACAAAAATGTAGTAATTTTTTTTATAGTATTTGCTGGTTCTTTTTTAGGAGAAATTATTTTTTTCTTCTGTAAAAACAGAACTATTGAGAGTCGTATTCCAAAGATATAGAAAGTTTTTCCTTAGGAAACACCCTGTATATCTGTTATTATGGTAAACCATATCTCCCTTAATAGTGGAGACAGACCTATTAAACCTTGTGTGATCTGTAATAATTAAAAAATCACCGAATTCTTATTTTTAGTTTCTTATTTGTTGACATTTTCCTTCTATTATTATTCAATCCACAAACTGTAGTGGCTCTCCTCTAAAATTTTGTTTAGATTGTTGTTTTTATAAGTATAATGCATCAACAGATACTAGTCATTTCCGAATATGATTTTATTAATGTATTGTTATTGAGTTTATTGAAACATTAATGTGACAATATGAACTGTATAGTATTTTCGAACACTTGAGCAGTGTGTTAAATTGTTCTATCAATTAATCAAATGTGAGGTGTACTATATAAAATATTTTTGCAAATAGATCTTTTCTTAAGCCTACTGACTTACCACACCGATACGATGAAAACATTTTTGAAACCGCTGACTCCACCGATAGTTCAAATCAAATCAATTTTTTATTAACTTTCTCCAATTTGATTTAGTCATTTTAAGTGGATGTAGAACAACAATACTCTTACATTCCTGTTTTCATTCTTCCCGTGTATTTTCCTTTCATCCTTATTATCCTTGTTGCGTTGTTATTTTTTTTTAAACTTGTGCCTCTAATAACTACTGTTGTTTTTATGTCAGCTTCAATGTTGTGGTGTTGAAGACTCCTCTGATTGGAAATGGCAAGATGGGAAAGTGCCAAACTCCTGCTGCAGTTCTAAGACGGACTGTACGACTATCTCGCATGATGTTTATAGAAGAGGATGCGCAGAGAGTGCCTATAAGTGGTTCAAAAACGGTTTGGACTTGCTTGGAATCCTAGCAATAGCTGTTGCATCCATCGAGGTAAAAAGTTGTTAACTAAAATTGTAGCCAACAAGATAAATCTTTTTTTTTTTTGTTCAAATACCTACTAGGAATTGTATTCCTTAAGTCCAGTTTAACTTTATAATAATTGTTAAGCGTTTAAAAAAGTAAAGAGGCTTTTTCTATAAGGAGTTCAAAAATCCACTACTTTTTTTAATTGAATGAACCCCAAATTTATCCAAACAAAGTATTGTTGCAATCAGTTTTTTACATATATATTTATACACAAACCTATTATTTGACAACTTATTTCAATTCTTTTTGAATGATATATTCCTTTTTATATTTATATGCGTTATAATAGCGATGTTGCATGTTACAGATAATTATGGAAATGTCTATTCTATTCATCTAACTATCTTTCATCCAGATAAATGTATTTGTGTAAAACTTATGTTACTCTGAAGCACTCCCGACTTTGTATTGTTTCTGGACTTGAGAGACGCATTATATGGAAAAATTATCAAGGATTAAAGTTTTTTCAAAATCTACAGGGTGCAGCAAATCAATAAGTCAAGTCTGTCACGACAAAAAGAAAATAATAAATAGCCGCTAACCGCAAAAATGTATCGGTAAAAATTTAATTAAAGTTTGGAAAAACCACTTGTTTTTATAAAGACGTTTCAAGTAATTTCTAGTTTCTTGAGAGTCCCCGATTTTAAGACTAGTCAACACAAATTGAGGATTCCTATCATACAGCAAAATAAAAATTTTACGAAAACGAAAAAAAATTGGAAAATAACCATTTTATCTACAAAAGAGTAGGTAGGTACCTACCTCCAACGACAGACGTGAGTTGGAAAAATAAAAGTTGCACTTCAATTTTTTTAACCGAAATTGCTCAAAAGAGTGACAGTATAACCTTAGGTATAAACGGGTCCAAATTTAATAAAATTCATTTTAAAATCTTAAATTTAATAATATCTACTTATATGTAGCCAAAAAAAAATTTGGTCGCATATTTGTATTTCTTAAAAATTATCAGTCTGCTAGAAAGCCATTGAATTTAGAAATTATTTTGTCTCCTGATATTTTTTCGTAAAACACAGTGTTTTCGAGAGATATGGCAAAATGTGATCGAATGCATATCGTGATATTCGTGATTCGTGATTTATATGAAATTCTACATGTTAATCGTAGGTGGCTGGCGATGCTTCGATCACATTTTGCCATTTTTCTCGAAAACATTGCATTTTAGGAAAAAATATCAAGCGACAAAAAATTTCTAAATTCAATGGCTTTCTGGCGAACTAATAATCACAGCCACACAGAAAAAAAAAGTTGGGTATACTTTTTATGCGACATATATTTTTCGTAGTAATTTGGCCTCCTGAACACGAATCTGGGGTCAGAATTGGCCCATCACGTCACAATTTTTTCCTAACCTCAAAAAACTTATGAAAAATAGTGAAAATTGATGAAAATTTACTGGGAAAATTTGGAAAAAAATTTATTTCCACATCAAATAGTACATTTTTATGAAAAAGACTCAGAATTGAGCTAGAACGTGTGTTTTTTTTTCTAACCTCAAAAAACCGAGCAGTAATCGCTATTTTCAAATTTTGAGCGGATTTTGACCAGATTTTGTATAAAGGGGTTTTTTGGGTCGTTGATTACGAATATGAATTCACATTGTAAAAATTCAAGATGGCTGATCCAATATGGCGGGTGTACTTTTTTGAAATCCACCAATTTCAGTAAAATTTGGCATCATAAGGATTGCTGGTTGATCTCATCTTCATTAATCACACATCTGGAGCCAGATTTTCATAAATCAAGGTAAAATTTGTAGGCAGAGCCATAATTTTAGGCCGAGTAGGCGGCATTTTTTCGGCAAAGTCTCATTTTTAGATTGAAGGCATAAGCAGATGCAGTGATGTGCTGTGTGGCAGTAATGTGTCCTTTTCCTTGAACTTTAAAATTATTAAGAAATAAAAGCATCTAAATGCCATAGGAAAACTGCATAGTAGTTAAAAAAATCTGATTGGAAAACCATAAGCCCATGCACGACTAAATAAATGAAAGAATAAAGAAGAAACTTTTTTGTCTTGTTCCATGGAAACAAGCACATCACACTACACATCATTACATATGTAGAGTCCTTAAGTAATTTGTTTTGAGGTTAGAAAAAAAACACACGTTCTACCCCAATTCTGACAGTGGATTTGAATTCAGCAGTCTTTTATATAAAAATGTACTATTTGATGTGGAAATAAATTTGTTTCCAAATTTTCCCAGTAAATTTTCATCAATTTTTACTATTTTTCACAAGTTTTTTGAGGTTAGGAAAAAATTGTGACGTGAAGGGCCAATTCTGACCCCAGATTCGTGTTCAGGAGGCCAAATTACTACGAAAAATATATGTCGCATAAAAAGTATACCCAACATTTTTTTTTTGTGTGGCTGTGTAATTTTTAAGAAATATAAATATGCGACATTTTTTTTAGCTATAAAAGCCAAGAAAAAGCGCCTTAAGGGGATTTCCCGACAAAAAGCGTAGCACATCAGATTCCACATGTCACAAAACCCCTATTATCAAATTTAGTTAATCTCGTACAACAAGGTTTTGAGATAAAAAAAAATTATTATTCTTAGGGGCAAAAATTAAAAATACGCATTCCCTAAAATTGTCTTAAGAATTTGTGACTAAATTTTGTTGCATTAATTCCGCGACACCTGGTACCTATAACAGAAGACTCACTACCGCGTAAAATAATTTCTTTTTGACAATTCAAATCCTTCAAATCATTTCTTATTCTGAGCTAACTGGCTAGTTTTTGAGCAAATTTTACTCATGTATGTCTATATCTTCAATGGTTGTTGAGCAAATTACCAAAAACTGTGTTCAACCTTCGAAAAATAGTAGAGCCCTTAGGACAAAATGTTGGTCATTTGTTTTTCTGTTTTACTTATTTTGATGCGAGGTATCACCTCTGAATTTTCCCGCAACGTATCTTTGCACGTTTTGATAAAGTTGTAAAATTATTCCTCTTTTTCAGATCATCGGTGCCATATTTGCCCTGTGCCTTTCGAGTTCAATAAAGAACCAGATACGAAGAGAAGCATACGCATGAGTGGTGTAATCGTGAAAACAGGAGATACGGTGTTGCTAGCTTAACCAATGTCAATGTTTCATCGCATCAAGTTTTACTATATCTAGGTTACGTCGAATATTATAAGTGTATTGGTTATTATTACATTACCGATACTGATAAACAATATTTGCATAAATTTTTGTCGTTGTTGATGTCGAAATTTGTCGGAGATTCATAACAGTATTTTAATTATTAGGTATACTACTGTATGTGCAGAACTAAATGTTTAATGAGATTATTTTAACCAAAGGCTTGTAAATGCTCTTTTTTCTCAAAGCAGCAATGTAGTAGGTCCAAATTTATTAGTGATTTGGTTCAAGGTTCATTATGTTTTATTTAGAATAAAATTTTGAATGAACTAGGGGACAAAATATTGATCTGATGAGAAGTGGTGCAGAAATGTTTTTAAAGAATATTTAAAATATATGAGTCGTTTCAATAAATACACAGTTGATTTTAAAATATATTTTTTATAGATATTTACATCTTCTGGCCCTAAGAATGCTTTATTTTGGAAAATATACTCGGTAGAAGAACCTGAAAAATTAAAAGACACTGTAGCCACCATAAATTACTTACTTTATGTCGATATGATTTTATGCAGTTCAAGCCAGTTCAATGGCATTAAGATCTGGTAGTAACACTGTCGAAAGCATTGATCTCTGTCATCAGTGACAAACTTCATGTTTATAAATTTTCTCGTAGTCTAAATGAGGATATTTTATCTCTGCCTGTATATATTTCCATACACCCATGCAGCTAATTTTTCACAACGTAATTACGTAAAATTAAATTTATTTGAGTAACCATGACGTTGAAGGGGTGTGCCACAGAATATTCTAATATACTCGTTAAAGTTAAAAATATACACGGTTTATTTTTTCACGTATGACTGTTATACTAAAATGTATGTGATAATTATATATTTTTGAATCTGTGTACTGTACTCGTAGTATTATTATTGGGAACAACCCAGTGCAATATAATATACAAAGTTAGTAGTACAAAGGAGATTTTACAGCACTAATATATTCTTAAATGTTATTGTATGCAGGTTAGTTATATTGTACTTGATCCACTGTTTTTTTTAATTAATAATTATAATAAATATATTTAAATTAATTTGCTTTATATATTGTTTCCCAGGCTTCGTTATTTATAACTTTGCTTCTTTGTACATGCGTAATGTCCTCCTTAAGATTCAGTTTACAGGTCACAATTTTGTGAATTTCTTTGAAAGTAATATATACAGTATGTCCCCGGTTAGAGTGGAAAAGAGGGAAAATATTTTTGTTTTTCATTTTACGAGAAAAAGGCATTCTTGATTAAAATGTTTGCTTGTCTTTAAAATGCGGTTGGCAGAGAGAACTCTCATCTTGCATGTACAGGGTGATCAGAAAATCGGTAATTATAAAAATCGTTCAAGAACAAACAGCCTTTTGCTCATCATTCTAATATCATTGGTACGAAGAACTGTATTTAGAAATTTTGCCAAAACATTATATTAAATAAATTGTTTGCTGCAACGTAAGCATATTAGAATAACTGTCACTATTACTCAAAAGACCTATCACTTTTCATTATGACGGTTGTTGTCAAACTTGTTTATTCTCCATACCAAAAGCAGATATGTAAAATAAAAAAAACACCTTCATTATACAGGGTGTCTCATAATTAGCTGCCAACCCTGAACAGGCCGATTCTATGATCAAAACTAAGAAAAAAAATAATATGAACATGGGTCCGGAAATGCTTCCTAAGGGCACAGGCCTCCATTGAAGAGGGAGGAATGGAAATCATTTTTTTTCAATATCTCTCAATCGCGTTGTGATAAATGAATGAAATTTGGTATACACAGCTAAATTTTGATGAGCAATTTAATGGACTAATCCATTTATTTCCACAAGGTCCATTGGGGTGGGTACGGGGGGCCCTTGGTACTTTCGTGTGTAACTTTTTCATCTTTGACTTTTTAACAAATTGGACAGCAAATTCCGTTTTCCCGAACTGTTTTACGTTAAAAAGGTACTCTTGTTTCAAATCGTTATCTTTAACGGTTTCTGAGAAAATCGCTCTTGAATTAATCCCACTTTGGTCAATTTCATAGTAATTTAAACAAAAAATAATAATAATAATTTTCCTTTCCTCTCTTTTCCATTTAAAGGATTAATTTTTATTTAATTTAATTTTTTATTATTATTTTTTTATTAAAATTAGATTAAATTTAAACAAAATTTTTTTTTTGTACAACCTCAAATAAAGCATCTAGATACTTGAAAATTTTTTCACATAGAAAAGACCGCTCAACCTTTCAAATGGTTTTTGAAAAATTGAAATCGGTTGATTAGGACGGCTACAGTAAATTTTTAAATTTAATACTCTTTTTTTCTAAGCAATTAGATTACATTTATCAATTTGCAATTTAGTTTTTTTAAAAAATTATAATTTTAAAGTACCCGGAAAGACGCTTCTTTAGAAAAAAGTTAAATTCCGTTTATTGGTTCTCGAGATATAAGCGGTCAAAGTTTATCGGCATTTACCGTTTAAGCAATTTAGCAATAATCTTTGATCTAGTGGCCTCGTTTTTCCGACTTCTAAGCTGGAAAAAATTTTCATATCCGTAAGTTATCGGCAACATAGATAAATCAGCGGAAAAGCTGTCGCTTGCACTCGCGTAAAGTGACTCAAAACACGAAAATTGGGGGTTCAAAATGCGAAGGTACGAAAAAAATTGCATTACCTCGGCTTCTAATGGACTAATTTCAATCTTTTTTTTTCAATCCGATCTCTCGTGAGCCAAGCAATTCGAATATCGTAATGCCAACTGTCTAATTTGCACATATTTTGTTATAAACAAAGTTTATTATTTATACATTAAATCCTATTTTATCCTATGCTATTGCATTTGTTCAATGAAAAAATTTGTTTACGTATTTAGTTCTAATTATTACAGTTATTTAAATAATGTTTGTTTAAACAAATTAAAGAAAAATATATTTGGAAATTAATTTTCTTGTTAAATACAGATAAAATTAAGAAGAAACAGTATTTTAAAATTATAATTTTTGAAAAAAACTAAATTGCAAATTGGTAAATGTATTCTAATTGTTTAAAAATGAAAAAAAAAGTGTTAATTTTACAAATTTATTGTGGCTGTCCCAATCAACCGATTTCAATTTTTCAAAAACCATTTGAAAGGTTGAGCGGTCTTTTCTATGTGAAAAAATTTTCAAGTATCTAGATGCTTTATTTGAAGCTGTGCAACATTTTGAAATTTCGAAAAAATTTTTTCAAAATTTATTTAAAAAAATTATTTTGCGAAAATTACCGATCCGATTTTAATGAAATTTGGTGTGTTGTTTTATTATACTCTAAAGTTAAAGTATTATCCAAAAAACTTGATTATTTTGCCATTTTTTCATGAAGTATTGCTATTTTGTAATATCGGTAATAAATTTAACCATTTTTGACTTAGAGTTAGTATATTGTGTAAAATTCAATTCTAAAACTTTTTTCCTCTTCAATATGCTTTCAGAATGCATAGGTTCCAAGATATAAGTAAAAATCTCAGATAAAATAGGTAATTTTTTAAATTTTCTAAACATTTTTGCAATTTTGAAAATGTTCCGGACCTCGCCCAGATCTAGGGATCTACACTTTTATTATGTAAGTTGTACTGAAGGTAATCCAGGAAAAATTTGCTTGATAAATGATTTTTCTCTCTGGCTTCTGTACTTTCAGTATACCTACTCTACGAAATAGTAGAAAATTTATGCAGAGTGAACTTTTCGAAGGAGCCACAGAAGAATAGCAGGAACATATTGGCATTCAGTGGCGTATGGCTTGTACAAAAAATAAAATAATTCTCACAAACAATTACAGCCAAAGTTTCAATGCAAATTTATCATTACATCCACAAACTGCCATCTCAAACTTTTTAAGTGATTATTCTGTACTTACTCGCCTGAGTACCTACTCTTTTCTAGTTTTCTAACAAACATAAATTCTATTTTCAATTTTTCGTTTTAATTAAAATAATATCACAGGAGAAACAAATTTATGAATAATTGCTAAAGTTCTTATACCTACTATTGTTTAGGTACAAAAATTCATAAATCAAACTGATTAATTAATTGTCTGGCCACATCGCTCTCCCGATTTAATTCCAATCTATGCATTTTTTTATGCTGTCTATTTTTGAACAATAAGTACAAAGCACAAAACCGTCTTAAACTTGTCGCCAACAAAAAGATGCATTCATACCACACCGGGAGCAGATATTTCCGTGACCTATGACCTCTGAGGGTGATATGTTGGTGTTGCCACTCATAGTACAGGTCGAACTAATTGTAAAGTGCCGCTGTCGCTAGTCACGCTTAAATTGGTACGGCGACACAAATGGGAAGTGCAAGTTTGAGCCTTTGATAAACTGCAGTTGTTTTTCGCTGAGAGCGTCTCATTTTTTTTTCAAATCACCTACAAAATGAGCTTCGGTAATACCTGCTTGAAGACCATCAGTGCTATATTCCAAACAACTTTTATAGTAAGTACCAGTTATTCGATACACCTTGCACTTTTTTTATTTGTGGAAAGTTTATTTTGAACTTTGAAGTATGTGAAAACTTTCGGTAAATGTCAGAGAGATCGGAGCTCGACCCCTAAAATTCCAGTGGATCGCTGTATAGAATTTTCGCGTTTATTTTTAATTTTCAGTGTTCGGGACGAAAATAATACCTTTGCGATTCTATCTAGTTTATTTATATTTTTGCCTCCAGTAGCTATCTGACTTGCGTTCGTGTTCACAAAGTGTTAAGCCAGTTTAAATTTATTTCAATTTAGTTTAATGTGCGCAATTTTAATTAGTTAATTGGCCCAATTCAGCTTTAAAAGGGGTGACGAGATAGCAGTTACATAAAAAATGTTGTGGTAGTATCAGGTGTGTCTCTAAATATATTTGCATGTGATTATAAAGCCGTATCTTTTTTCTTTGTTGAAATAGATGTACCAAATTCTCTCTAAGTCTTGCAATTTAGTTTTTTACTATTTAAAAAAATACATAAGTATTCTATTATTAGTTTTCGTATTTTTACTTTATTATAGAGGTTCAAATAGATTCAAAAAATTAATCACTATCTAAACCGATCAAAATAACTTTTAGAGGTAAAAAAAGAAAATTGTTACCTGGACTTTCATAAGTGGAAATGGTAAAGGGGCTTATAATAAACAAAAAAATATAAAAATTGTATCATTGGGTTTTCTGGCGAAAGTTGACGTCAAACAAAAAAGTATCCAACACAAAAGTTGTAGATCATGCAAAAATCCACAACTTTTGTAGTGGTCATTTTTTAACATAACCTGAAAATTTCCGAGAAAAATGAAAAAAACAGGTTTTTTCTGATTTTTCGTTTTTTATTTCTCATTTCCGCAAAAATAATTTAATTTTGACGAAACTTGGTGAAAGTATACCTTTCCCTGTCTTAAATAATCTCAAATTTTTTTAGATAAAAAAATCAAGATGTTTCTGAGATATTCACTTTTTTCGGCCAGAAACATTTTTTTTCAAAGAAAAATTCTACTTAAAAAAATCATCGTACAGAGTTCCGCCGTAATATTTTTTTTCGTTGTGACATATACTTTTTGGTGAAATAAAAAAATCTGTAATCACAGTTCAAAAACATGCTCAAAAATGCAAAAAGTAAAAAATTACTTGCAGCAATTAATTTTTCAGTAATTGTTGATAATTTGTTTAAATTAAAAAAAAATCAAAAACTGATGACGCCATTAAATTGTACGGAAAAAATACAAAAAAAAACTGTCTCATTGTTTGACCCAAAACTATTTTTGTACAGTATTGCTATAAACATAAGTCGCATAGTGAATAAATAAAATAAATAATTATTTTTTCCGTAGTATCGATTAGTGTACTTATTTTTTTTTAAAGTTTGATGAATTCATAGATATACAGTGTGTCCAAGATAAGGATGGGATAGCATTAGGATCTAGGAAACGGTAAGAATGGCTCAGTCAAAAAAGTTGTGTTTCTTTATACCTAACAATATGCTGTTTAGAAAATTTTAAAATTCCGGGTAGTTCCGGAGATATCCGGAAAAACCCGAAATTTTGCAAAATTGTTTATTTTTTTTCTGGCTTTTTAATTAAATTTTAAAATAAATTACATATTTACAATGCCATTTTTTTCGCTCTATACAATGGCGTCAACATTTTTGCAATCCGACGTTTCGTCTTCGAGGGACCATAATAGGGTTAATTTTTTTAAATACGTCGCTGCTATTTTTATGACAAAATCTAGTCATCTTTAATTCTGAATTAGAAGATATTACTATTGTAATCGCTTAAAAAGTTTTTAGCTTGTTTTAGCTATAATTTAAAATTTTTCCTGAGTACGGCTCTGTTGCTTTCAAAATATCTATTGGATGAAGTCATAACAATATAAAAGTCAGTACCGCACAAAATATCCAACAATTTTGTACTACTGTTAGAAATACCAATTAGAAATAATAAAATATTTCATAAATTCGTATTATTTTTTTATTAGGTACATCTTTTTAAATTATGGATTAAAAAAAATGTTGAACATTTTGTGTTGTTTTAACTTTTATTCTCTCCTCTCTGCCTCTCCTCCAATAGATACAGGTATTTTGAAAGAGCTGTACTCAGGAAATTTTTTTAATGATAGCTAAAAACCTTTTTACAATATTACAATAGTAATATCATCTAATACAGAATTTAAAATGACTAGATTTTGTCATAAAAATAGCAGCGATATATTAAAAAAAATCAATCTGATGATGGCTTCTCGAAGACGAAACGTCGGATTGCAAAAATGTTGAGGTCATTGGATAGAGTGAAATTTTCAAAAATACACTTCGCATCAAAATTAAAACACTAGTAAAATTGAGCAACAACTTGAAAATTTGTTTTCTCGCGAACAACTAATCTGATTTAAACTATCTTCTTTTTTAAAGGAAGATTCTTCAATAACGTTAAAGAGATATGTTTGTTTTAATTTAATTTTTATGATATACGGTGCGAAAAGTTGAATCAAAAATCATTTTCTTCACACTTTAAAATTATTATTGGCTTTCTTGAGGAGATTTATAAAAAGTAAAATTTATTTTTCGCCTCCCACTAAATTGCAAAATGTACAAAATCGTAAGGGCAGAGTTTTTATGGACATTGTAGTTGAAACTGTTAACAAAGTTCATTAGAACTTTAAAAACGTACTGGACTACGAGCTCAGCAAGATGCAGATATTTCGAACTATATTGTAGATTTTTTGGTACTGCATGTTTATTTGTTAATAATTATTTTCTTACTGGTACGCTTTTTATGCTGTGTGTTGGTCATATTTTCAGAATCAGCTAAAATCATTGAAGAAACGTCTGAAAGTCCCGAAAGTAGTATTTCGGATTTGGTAAAGTCAAATACGAAGCGATTTCGTTTGATGTACTTCTTACTGTACTTTACCAACCACATGATTGGCACATTTTCCATTAGTATATCTAACGAAAAATCTACAATTAATAGTATAGTAAACGCAAAGCAAAATATTTTCGATATAATGTAATATGAAATAGGAATATCTAACATGATAAATGTCATAAGGACGTCTTGTGGCAGCATATTAATGACAACCAATAACCTCATGTTCATTTTGATTCCGAAAATTTAATTTTTATGTAACATCAATTTTTCAACGCAGAAATGTCCACACAAAAAATTAAAACACTCAAATTATAAGAAACTGACAATTAGAAACAAATTGAGACAGATATCTGTGATTGAAATCTTCGTTCTTTGGTATATAATGACTATTTTTTTAGTTGAAATGTATCAGGTAAGTAATGTAGAAAATAAGTTGTTTAATACTTGAATCAATAAAGAAAATGCTATACATATTAGTATCATGATTCGTTTGGAAAGGTAGTTGATATTTCGGACATGCTACAAACACTTTTGCTTTAATATCAAATAACTCAATGTACACCGGAAAAAGTGTATTTAATGTCCAGAATAACATCCCGTATACTACAAAATAATTTTAAAATGTAATGAAATTGATTTATTGCTAGTCTTATTTGACACAATTTTCTTTTGTTACTGGTATTACCAGAGCTATAAAAAGAAAAAAGATAGAACCAAAGTTGGTACATGATTTAGGTTTATTGCTGGTCTTCTTTGACTATGATTTAAAGTTAATTGAAGCACTACAAGGTGTTCATTGGGGATGACTCATCCCTAAAATTGTACCGAACTTTTTTTTCAGTGAGCAAATTGAAAAATAATATCAATTCACAGCATAATTTAATTTAAATTTTTTTTTTACTCTTGTTAAATTTTAAAAAACTTTATGGTTTTCTAGAAACACCGTATTAACTGACACAAGATTTTTAAGTGTTCATTAGAAAATAATCAAAATGTCAGTAGTAGGCTATGAATTTATCTTTCAAACTTGTAAGTTAATAATAAAATTATTTTATTTCAACAATTCTTCCACACTTCTTCTACAGTTTCCTTCGCAGAAATCCAGCCGTTTCCAACAACAATCAGAGGCAATTGTTGCAATAAAATAATTTTATTAGGTACTAACCGAGAAGTTTGAAAGATAAATTCATTGTCTACTACTGACTTGTTTTTATTATTTTCTAATGAACACTGTTAAAATCTTGTGTCAGTTAATACGGTTTTTCTTGAAAATCATAAAGATTTTTAAAATTTAACAAGAGTAAAAAAAATTTTAAATTGAATTCTGTTGTGAATTAATATTACTATTTTCAATTCGGTCAATGAAAAAAAAGTTCTGAACAATTTTAGGGGTGAGTCATCCCCAATGAACACCTTGTAGTGATTCAATTAACTTTAAATTATAGTCAAAGAAGACCAGTAATAAACCTAAATCATATACCAAATTTGGTTCTTCTGCGGTAAAGCGTTGTAGAGATATTAATTTTTTTCGAAATTTATTTCCCCACTTTGGGGGCTAATAACTCCTCAGGGGTGCAACATTTTATATAGGTAAGATTGGTTAAATTACAATATTTTGGACACCCCTACATGGACTTGCCCTGTGTCGGTTCTTATGCGGGACACTCTGTATACAGGGTGTCCCGTTTATGTTTCAAAAAAACTTGTGTGCAAGTTCGTCATGGGAAAATAATAGGGGTAGTTCATGTAACATTTTTTTTTGGACACACTGTTTTCGAGATACAGTATGTTGAAGTTATTACTTACCAAATGGTTCTCCTTAATTATCTTTAAATCGGCTAAAGATAAAAATGTCAAAATTTGTACACGAGTAAATATCAAGTGTGCGTTAAGAATAATGTGCGAACAGGTTCTTTCTGAAAAGCAGTGCCGCCGATACAGGTAATTGGAGGGGTACAATCGAAAAAAATATATTAAAAGTCAAAAATTATTACATTTCTAAACGGTTCTGTAAACTATAAAGCATACTATAAAAAAAAGTATACTTGTCGAAATTCGGTGGCATGTACCATTTTCGAGAAAAATGAAGTTGCATTTTTTGCTCACATAAAGCGACACAAAATATTAAATTGAAAGAGGACTTTACCATTGAATGAGCTGAAGATATTTAGATACCAATAGTATTTGCGTTGAAGATTATAATTTTAATTTGTTACGTATAACAGGAAACAGTTAATTGTAAAACATTTTATTAACTAAAAAAAATTAGAATTTATTTTAAGTTTCAGCTTGTTGTAAACTAACATTTAAAAAAGTAAATCAAAATAAACGGATTATGGTAATTAATTGTCTATTAATAACTAATTTTAGCTTTTGTAAACTACTACACTACCATTATTAAAATAAACAATTATTGTTGAATGGGCTGAATTGTTGATGGACATGAATGCTTAAAAAAGTGATAAGAACAGAAAAATATTAGGAAGTAGACTCGGAGACATACAGAACAAAACAGCTGCACAATAATTAATAAATGAGCAAAACTCGAAATACTACAGTAGATTCTGAAATTATCCCCCATTTTCTTCTATGCAACTTCATTTTTCTCGAAAAGGTACATGCTACCGAATTTCAACAAGTATACCTTTTTTTTGTAGTATGCTTTAGAGTTTACACAACCGTTTAGAAATGTAATAAATTTTGAATTATAACATTTTTTTTTTCGATTGCACCCCTCCAATTACTTGTATCGGCGACACTGCTTTTCAGAAAGAAACCTTTTGCACATTATTCTTAACGCACAACTGATGTTTACTCGTGTACTAATTTTGCCATTTTTATCTTTAGCCGATTTAAAGATAATTAAGGAAAACCATTTGGTAAGTGACAACTTCAACACTCTGTATCTCAAAAACAGGGCGTCTAAGAAAAAACTTTACATGAACTACCCCTATTATTTTTCGATGAGGAACTTGCACACAAGTTTTTTTGAATCATGAACGGGTCACCCTGTATATTTTTTAATTGGTTGAATACCTTTAAAGTGTTTTTTTTTCTTTATACTTTGGGTATTTTGCCACCCTAGAATAAATTTAAAAATTAGTGAAATAAATTCTTGTGTCAAAAGAATCAGTCAAGGGTTATTTTTATGAAAATGGTTTTGTCTAAACTAAAATTTCACATTGAAAAAAGCAGACAAATACGAAATACAAAAAACACTTTAAAAAATGTTAATTTACATTTCAAAAATCTATATTTTCGACTTCTCAACTTATTCTGACTTTTCGTTTTAGTTACTTTTAACAGTTTAAATTTGTTTTAGAAAAATTTAAACAAAGGCAAAACTGTTTTCATAAAAATAACCCTTAACTGACATTTTTGGCGCAAGGATATATTTCACTAATTTTTAAAATTATCCATTGGCGGAAAAATATCCAAAAAATAAAGAAAAACACGAAAACAATGCCACAAATAAATAATTTCAAGCAATATATTTAGAGCAGGGTAAAAAAAAATGTGCAAGCTAATTATAAAATGTGTAAAACATATTTAACAAGCAGTAAAAACAGTTTGCAAGACTTTTTATCATTTCCATATATTATTTACTTCGCTAAATGTGTAAAACTAAAAAATAATCAGTTTGCAATTAAGGAACATTTAGCAATTTATCAGTGTTTATTTATTTTCAAATTAAAAACTTATTAATACACAGTCGGTAATTTAATACCAATAAATTTACTGACATTTCGGATTCAAGAATAATTATGCGGCAACCGACACGGTTTCCCCCGACTGCTAAATCAAGCAGACGTGTTCTGATAGACCACAAATTTTCCATTTGAATTCATAACTCCTTTGAAGGCTGAAAATGGGCAGGATCGTTATATTTCGTGCAGAGCATCCAGAGGAATGAGAATGGCAGACTTTCCGCCTTTTATAGTCCAGCATGTCGACGCCATTTAGTCTCCGAGATATTTGCAGTCGCCTCTAAGGCCGAATCGATAAAATGAATACTGTTAATTAGTATAAACTTACGGTTTGTTTTTCGAGTGAAATGGGGTGGTGTGATGCTGTTACGCTTTGCCTCAGTGGGGCATATGCCACCTTCTTTTTGGTAAGAATCGATTTTCTCTCCCTAATAACACCTTTTAATCATTTTAATGCACGTTGTAGAATGCAGGGCAGCCGTTTGAGTGGTGAGTTAACGATTTATTTTAGAACGAGTGGCTTATTTGCTTTGTTAGACTATGATGCAATGATGTACTGTATAATCCATTCGCGAGACCGTGTCACGGTGCTCTTTCTACAGAGTGTTTCTCGGAAAAATACTCCTAAAAATGTGTTTCGGAAATTTCGTTATATTTCGAGTTAATTTGAGTTAGTTTTCGGTAACAAATACCTCAAATAACGTGACAACGCTAAATAATGTATTCAGGAGTCCCGCAAGGGTCAGTCCTGGGGCCACTGCTGTTTGTTATTTTTATTAATAACTTAACTGAATGCCTCGATGTCAACTATTTATTCTCTACTGATTGTACTAGATTGCAAGATAATCTTGACAGATTAACAATTGGTGTTCATGTAATAATCTACCTCTGAATGTAAGCGAATGTAAAATTATGTCTTACAGTCGACGCAAAATTAATCTAGATTTTGATTATAAAATTGGTGAATCCTTTCTAAATAGAGTTACGCAATTTACTGACCTTGGTGTTACATTTGATACTAGATTATCGTTTGACGAGCACATTAGTTTAATAACCAAATCTGCTTATAAAAATTTAGGCTTTATTTGCGTAATTCTAAGGACTTTTTTTTAATAGTCTGCCTTAAACCAATGATGTTTTCAATTATATTCCTTTTTAAAATTATAAATAATACTTTAAATGAAGACTCGTTAGTTTCAAGAATTTTATATCTAGACTTAATTTTAGATTTCTCTCTGCTTTACAATTACCCACATCTCGTACAAATTTACTAATAGCATCTCCCCTATATCAAATGATTTTCAATTATTAAAAGTATGAAGATCGACTTGATATTTTTTTTTTTTTGCATTCTATGAGTAACATAAAAAATTGTTTGTCTAGTAAATGTAATTCTTATCTTGTATATATATTAGTTCACTTATTTGTTTTATTTGTCAGTTATTGTTTACAATTAAGTTCTTTTGTCTGGATTTTATATTTTGATTGCTCTATTTTGTGTAGAACTTATATTTTCATATTTAATGTTAGTTTGTCTTTTTTTATATTTAGTTAAGGCTTTCTGCTTTAACTTGTCCTGGAATTGGGACTTTGTCCTGTTGGATATTGTAATTTCTAAATAAATAATTAATTAATTAATATTATAAAATTTTCTTGCAATAAAAGAAATTCATTTCTTGTGAAACTTTAGGAAAATACTTGTCATAAATGAACATAATTACAATAGTTTTTTTGTACAAGATGATTTTTTTTGTCTTATGAACTATATGTCTATCTTCTCTTTTTTCGCGATACAGAGCAACAAAATAAAATTGTTTAAATAGAATTTTTACTAAAATTTCCAAACGGTGCGAAATATTTTTATAAAATTTGGTATTCCGGGGTTTTTAAGGACGCCAAATACGCTGGTATAATTATTTTTTGGATATTTCATAGAGGGCGCTAGTTATGCTACATTCCTATTACCTTTTAAGTTCTAATTTTTTTAAGGTTAGGGTTTTTACCAGTCGGGCTCCAATTTTTTATGTACAATTTTATTTTCTAAAAATAATGTATTCTTGTTAGAACTTCCTAATGTGGACGGTTTTCGAAAAAAAGGCTTTCAATTAAACTCTTACAATATTACGGTGTATAAAATAAGTGACTTTTCTCAAAGTAGACTTATGTCAAAACTTATTGATGGATATCTTATAAACAACGCATACATTGTTAGTAATATTTTAAACTCTAATTAACTTTATATCAAAATTTTAGTGATTTTAAGTGACTGTAGTTAGTAATGACTAATTACAGTCACTAAAATTTTGATATAAAGTCAATTAGAGTTTAAAATATTACTAATAATGCATGCGTTGTTTATAAGACATCCATCAATAAGTTTCGACATAAGCCTACCTTGAGAAAAGTCATTTATTTATACACCATAATATTGTAAGAGTTTAATTAAAAGCCTTTTTTCTCGAATATCATCCACATTAGAAACTTCTAACAAGGGTACATTATTTTTAGAAAATAAAATTGTACATTAGAAATTGGAGCCCGAATGGAAAAACCTAACCTTAAAAAAATTAGAACTTAAAAGGTAATAGGACTGTAGCATAACTAGCGCCCTCTATGAAATATCCAAAAAAATAATTAGACCAACGTATTTGGCATCCTTAAAAACCCCGGAATACCAAATTTCATAAAAATATTTCGCACCGTTAGGAAATTTTAGTAAAAATTCTATTTAAAAAATTTTATTTTGTTGCTCTGTATCGCGAAAAAAGAGAAGATAGACATATAGTTCATAAGACAAAAAATTCTTATTTTTTGTCGTACTATCACCCCCTGTATTTACGGGAAGTCTTTCTGAAACACACTGTATTATACCTGCAAGGGACCTAACAATAATATATATTTTTTTCTTAATAAAAACCTTCTTTTCGTTTTTGATAGTAGCTTGCTTATTGTTAGAAATGGACCCAACAAACCCTTTAGGACTACGCTTGATTGGGAACGTTCCATCCAAATATGTAAAAATATATAGGGTGTTCCATTTAAATTAACATCCGCGGCCATTTTGTTTGACTTCATTTGTTCTTCTACTATCATTTTCAAAAATTTCATAAAAAATCGTGCAACTTTTGTATTTCACATTTTTTTATAACTCTAAAAACAAAAAAAGTTAGTAGGAGTGAATCACCCTGTACTTTAACGTAAAATTGTTTCTTTGACGAAAAATATATCCAGATTTATTCCGATGATGGTCATAATTTGAACAGCGAAAGGTCAAAGGGTGTCGGACAACTTTAACAATAAAGAAGGCATTTGTATTATTCTATGGTTACTTTGATTCAAATTCATCTTTTGTTTTCAGATTGCTGGACTGGCTCTAGTAGCGTATGGATCATTCACAGCTTACATCATCCTTGTCACAAATAGTGAACAAGTTATAAAAGAATACGTTACCATTCTTCCGTCGGCAATTACGATACTCTTTGGACTGGTACTAGTGATATTAGTAATCGTAGGCTGCTGTGGGATTTGTAGAGAATCAAAATATTGCGTCGAATCAGTAAGTATGCCCATTTTAAAAAGTACATAACTTGCTTTTTTCAGCATATTTTTAGGTAAAGTCTTTTAAATTTCTGTTTGTCCCATAGAAATATATGAACAACATGCTTTTGTTCGTTTTCTTAAATCGTACTTAACAGAGAGGCAACAGTTGTTCAGTGTGATAGTTTCAGTCCATCAAAATTTAAAGTCACTTCTGGTGTTCCACAAGGTTCAGATTTAGGACCACTGTTATTTCTCCCGTTTCTTAATGATTTACCTAATGCATATAGTATTAATCTTCTTTTTGCAGATTTAAACTGAATATATTTATATTATACAATTTCAAGAAGTGATTGTGTTAAAGGATTTATATATTTTCTTTGATTCTAATCTTACATTTGTTACTCAAATTCATTTGCACTAACCAAATGAATGCCAATAAGACTTTAGGTTTTATATCAAGTAGAATATGCTTAAAGGCGTTTTTTGAAGCACATTTGTTTTAAGGAAGATGTCAACTATCGTTCCATTATTGAACAAATTTGATATTATTTCCGACGGAAATGATCAATCATATTGTTTTTCTATAATTAGATGCATGATAATATAAACTATAATAGTCTCCATAGATAAATATGTATTTTAGTACTGCGTGCTGGTTCAAAATATACCCGAGTATATGATATTAATTTTTCGTCATTGAATACAGTAAAAAACATTGTTTACAAATATGAACAACTGTAGGTGTACCTATTTCCCTAGTTTTTATCAAAATATACTTTGCGGTTTTATTATGATAAATTGTATTAAATTCACTCTTGCAATCTTTTTATAATTCCCTGTAACTGGGTTTTCCTGATGGAAATAAATCGTATTATTTTAAGTTATGTGTTGAAATTCATACATTCATTTTATTTTTCAGTACGCCTCATTTCTAATTTTGCTGGCCTTCTCACAGCTGGCTTTTGGAGGATACTGCATTATCGTTTATGGAAATCCTAACTACACAAGAAGCTTATCCATGCGAATAAGCGCAGACATAGAAAATGCCGTAACAAATTATAAAGACAACCCCGAAAAGATGGACAACATACAAAATTGGGTAAGCTGTGACGGTATATGAAAAATAAACGAAAGTTTTATTTCTATGATATAGAGCCTCTATAAATGATTACAAACCACTTGACCCCAGTGCTTAGACAACCAACATTGCACGGCGGGTACTGTCAACTTAAAATCTCTTGGTCTTAGCGCCATCAACATTGATGAATCATTTAATACGATTACAGATTAATTAACTGTTGTCAAGAACTACACCAATCACAAGTTGGTAAAACAGAATGTTTTGTTATAACATAACCTCGATGTCATTGTTTTAATAATTTCTAATTTTACCAAAATTTTATGAATAATATGAAATTAAATAAACGTCTCTTCGTTTGTCAGACAGTAGAGTAAAGTGACATGACAAATAATCTGTGATATGACACTCGACAGTGACACGACAGAGCTGACACATTGTGAAGAACACATACGAACTTGTCTAGTACCTTTGAGTTTATAGAGTGATGACATGCTTCCGTTCTAGATGAAATGTTGTGGTCACGTAAATGCCGTAAACGAGTATAATTTCTACCGTGGTCAATTGCCGAACCAAAGTGAACTACCCCCTTCCTGTTGTGGCGGATCAATCGTGACCTGCACTTTTGACACAAATGAGCTTCACACCAAAGGTTGTTCCGAAACCGTCTCACAATTCACGATCGTGACGAACTACATTATGGGGTGGATTTCTGTGGTCGTTGGCAGCACTGAGGTGAGACATTTAAGAATATTGTAGGTTAAATATGAATTTTACCTGCTCCTACTATAGTAAATAGACTATTAATACATTGTTTTTTTGATTGCTAATACATCAACTCCTGTATTAGTCAGTAACGTTGCCGATGTTCTTCGGAATGAATGGCCTGTATATGTTTCAGGATGTTCTAGTTTCAAAAACTGTGCAATCTTATTAGAAATCATAGAAAGGGTATTTTTGCCGACTGGTTCGTTGTAACATCTACCTGGTTTATGGTGTATAAAAAGCGTGAAGTTTCAATTTTAATTTCCAATCTAATCTTGATATATTTCTTGAGAATTTCTAGGTGAAACAGAACCCAAACGATACGTAATTGTAAACGTACGTGACATACCTACCATCTTTAGAATCTGGCATTGTAACTTCAATAATGTCATCTAAATTTTTGAAATTGACGTTCAAAGTAACTTTGCATAACTCATCAGAACGGCATGCTCTTACAATACCTAAGACCGTCACTACCTTCATGAGCAAATATGTGTTATCGGGTGCCTGAACGAACAAATCGTTGACTTGTTCTCTTGTAAAAACGTTTGACTTTTTAGGTGTATAGCCGTCATTCTTACGTTTAATCCAGATTTTATAAATGTTACTAAATGTAATAACCATCCAATTACCATAAATATTCATTCATAATAGGTAATTAATAAAATGTAATGTTAATCAAATATTTCTATTTATTTGTTCATAAAATTTATAACTCGAAATCGCTTTTATCCCTAAGGAGGTAAATTACCTCACTCACCTCCCGTTGTTCATAGCAACTTCCACTTCTACGGTAAAATCCATTTACCTCCTTGAAAACAATGTATTAATAGTTTATTTACTACAGCGGAAGCAAATAAACTTACTTCCGGGACATGCAGTGGTTGGTATGTATATATTATTATCTTGTAGATATCGGATTTGGTCTTGCAAGAACCACGAAGGTCAAGGCTTAGGGTTTCATTAATGATGATTAGTACTATTATGCGAGACATTTTAGAAATAAATAGAGACTACAGCGCTAAAGAGCTAAGACGATAGCTTTATAAATTAAGTTTAAGGCAGCTTCACATTTGGCTTAGTGTTGGTAATCAATACAATTAGTTTAATATCTTTTTAGATATAAAGTTATTTTACGTACCCAAATATTTCACGGACGTCATTACTTCACGTCCATTTTTAGTCCAGGGCTGCAGTATTAGCCCGCGTTTTCAAGTTTATGACATTAGACCTAAAAATGGACATTTGTCGTCATGAAACATTTTCCAACAAACTGTATCTTAAAGTTCTGCTCAAATTCGCATCTACATATTTATTTGCATGAAAAGTATCTACGACATATTCAATCGCTGCTGTCGAACACTTAGTATAGCCTTCTACAAAGCTAAAGAAACAAGAATATTAGAATATTATTATTGGAAATGGTCCATCTAGAAAATGTAAGAGAAAACTATCTCCAACATTTAAATAATTTGTATTTTAAAAGCTTCAAACCCTCCTGATTTCGACACCTGTGATTATTTTTAAACTTTACATCAATACAGCTATTATGTAGGAATTGGACTATACTAAATTTGAAAATGTCTTGAATGATTTTTTAGTAATATTCCTGTTAGTTTTTATATTATAATGATGTAGGTACAGAACTTTGTTCACTTTTCGCTAATCACGTAACCATCACCAATATACTGAAACTGTTAGTAAAAATGTACCTGTATATATTATTATAACAGTAGACTAAATGTAATTGTATTAACTTAATTTTAATTTTCTAGCTAATCGCTGCTTTATTGGGAATATGTCTGTCCTGCTGTATATGGAGGAACCAAATTGGGAGCTGGAGATAACTGCTAGTTGCACAATTTACCGTAAAATTGTTTTACTGGGAATTGTTTTCAGTAAGACTTGACCAAATATGTAAAAACAGCATAATTTAACTATGCCTTTGCCAATTTGACAAGTTGTTAATTTAGGCGTTTTTTGCAGTTGATGATATTGCAATCTCAGATGTCATTTCTGACAATATCAGAAAGATATAATCAAATTTAGCCAATTATATTGTACTATAAAAAAATTCTTAATAAGAAACTTATGTTTTTTTTAATTACTTTATTACATGTTGATAACATCTCGAATCAAAAGTGTCATCAAAAGAGGGAATTTGCGTTTATTACGATTATGCAGAATGACAAAGCAAGACAAGACAATAACTGGAATAAAAATCGAATTTTTAAACACATAGAAAGGATAATTTTACTCGTTTAATAATTGTTCAAGTATTTCTTAGATGTACCTATATCAGCTCAATAAACTCTGATGCCAAAAATTTGCACACTGAAGAATAATATATAGCCTATTATAGCCTACAATATTTTGATCAAAACGCTTTTTTTCAATATGTAACTCAGCTATACACAACTAAGGTAAATATGATAATAATATGTATCTGTAAATTAATTATGTTGTCACTAGTTTTATCGGATTTATTTAACTACAAAGAATTCATAATAATTGTGCATGTTTTGATCACCATTCATTATAGTCATTTATTCTAAGCATGAATTTTAAATTTATGGGTGACATTTTATAATACAATGGATTCATTAGGGTCCATTTATTGTGAATTGTTATTCGTTATTATTTTTACTCAGTTTAATATTTAAGTATATTGTTAGAATAATAAAATGTTTATCAAATTGTTGATATTATAGCTTTTAAGAGATCTTTTCTACGAAAGGTTGTAAACATTAATTTTGTTTATGCTATAAAAATTCCTCTATAACGAATTTGTTTTATTTTGTTCTAATCTAATGCAAATAATTAAAGGGTCAAAATAATTTCCGAAATTTTTCCGTGATTTTTGACACTGTATTTAGGTGAAAAATGATCGCAACGGGTATTAAAAAAAAGCATTTTGAAGCTCTAAGATTCTAGTTTTTAGATCTTTCGGTCGAAAATTTTTAGGAGCTACAGTTATCATGCAATTCCATGAAATGGCGCTTTTTTTCCGAGTCCACGGAAATTTTTTTCAGTTAAGCCATTGCATGGACCAGGTAGCTTGTTTATTTAGCTTCAATTTCGTTTTTTTTTAAATTTCAATACGACATTTTTCATCGAAATATCGGACTTTTAATGGAAAAGGACTCTTTTGTCTTCAATCATCGATATCTCGGGTGACAAACGGTCATATAGAGAATTGAAGGGTAGTTTCAAAAACTGGAATAAATTTCCTTTAACGTGCTGCCGCCAACTTTTCGAAAAAAAAATCATCTTTAACACGAATTTTAAAAAACAGGAAAAAGGGTAATTTATGGCTTTTTAGAAAATTAATGGCTAAATTAGAAATATTCACAAAATGACTAATGTTAAGCATGACTTGCAAGCAAAATTTTTTTGTCGCGTTATTTATTAGAATTGCATGATAACCATATCTTCTAAAAAATTTCGTCCGAAAGATCTAGAATCTTAGAGCTTCAAAATGCTTTTTAATTCTCGATACGACCATTTTTCACCTAAAGTCTGCCAAAAATCACGGAAAAATTTCGGAAATTCTTTTGACCCTTTAATTTTTTGCATTAGTTTAATTAATACAATAACTAGGTAAAAGGAATGTTTACTTTTGCTAAAATGTGTATATAATAAATTTGTACCACCAAATTTTTTCGTTTATTAGTACATTTGCAACATAGTAGGTCTGTTCAGAAAATAACCGAACTTTATATTTTTAAATTTCATTATTAATTTTTTACGGGTGGGTCCTTGTCTCCTTCAAAATTCTCCCCTCCCCTATTCACACACTTTTCCTAGCGGAGTTTCCATTTCAAGAAGCAGTCCTGGAGGTCCATTTGAAATGGCCTTTAAAGTCTGTGACCAATTTGCTTTGATGTCAACAATAGTTTGAAAGCACTGATTTTAACTTCGAAAATAAGAAATAATCGAAAGGAGCCAGGTTTGTGATTAAGGTGGGTGAGGGAGGACAGTAATCTGGTTTTTGATACAAAACTGAGCAAATGACAAAGCTGTCTGTGGGTGCATTGTCATTGTCGAACGAGGAAAAAATTTGCTGCAACTCGATGTACGTTCAATTTTTCAATCAAAAATACATGGCATGACCCTATTGAGATGCTAACCTCCTTTGCAATTTCTGTGACAATCAATCAGAGATTTGCACGCACCAGATCTTTGACTTTCTGAACATAGGGTCATCAGTTGAAGTCGAAGGCCTTCCTGGTCGAGGATCATCTTCAATTGACTGACGATCACTTTTAAATAGTGAACACCATTTGTAACATTACGACCCAAGAGCATCATCTCCGTAGGGTTGTTTCAGAAGTTGAAATGTAAAATCGCACATTACAAAAATTGTCTCGAACACTGCCAATAGCATATCACTAAATATCTCCATTAGCTCCTACCAAGAACGGCGGTGACAACATTTTTAACATTAAGGCGATGTTTCACATTGTATTAGCTATGTCCTGTCAAAAAGTTTGATTATTTTCTGAAGTGGCCTCGTAGATACCTATTTATAAAAACTGAAGTACCTAGTTGGAAGAACGAATCACTATAATAAAAAATATATTATTAATTAAAGCGAGCGTTTCTGGTATAACCTACAGTACAGATGAGACGTGCTGTCTGTCAAGTATTTTCTTCCTAGGCAAACCGGTTTCAAGCGATAACAGCTCTTATAATACAACAAGTGTGTGAACTTCGAAAGTAGAAGTAATTTTATCACACACTCTGGTTGTAAGCAACTTATCGATTATTTATATTCCTAGCGATACAATTCTATGCTTTATTCGGATTTAAGATTGTAACTGTTGAGGTTACAAGTTATCTATGTTTGCGTCATTTTTGTTTCCGCCACCAACAATGTATCAAAATCAAATTTGCACGAGTTTCCTTTTGATATATCTAACCTCCACCCAGTGCTGTTTTGTTTTCCAGTTAATTCAGCAAAATGTGTTGTGGTAAAACATGTCTAAAATCAACCGGGTTGATTTTCCTTACAACTTTTACTGTAAGTATAATTTATAATATAACAATAATGGATAAAGTGACATATCTTTCATTTATTGTGTTGTAGTTTGTGTAAAAGATAAAGAATTCAGATGTACTGTATTTTACGAGGCGAAGCCGTGTTCAACAAACATACAAGTCAGGAAAATCAAGCAAATGATACAGATTTAATCTAAATTATAATATGTATATATACCACTTTTACTTTAACTGTGGAATATTGAATCAGGAGTTGAACAAAATTTGTTTAAACCGTAAATTTTTAGTTTTGGTGCTGTGGATATATGAATAAATTGTTAAAAAATAAGGAATTTGAACATAGGAAAAATTGTGTGCTATTATTTATTTGTGACATATTTATTTTTTTCTCTTTTAATTTTTATGGCCTCACTTTACTTAAACAAGAATTTTGGCTTTTTATAATACGATATTTTAAATTAAGTAAAAATATTCCCAAAAAGCAACACCTAGCCGAAAGTTTTGGCACAGGGATTTGTTAAATTGTTTTGAACTTATTTGCGCAGGTAACAACTAAACTAAAAGAGAGAAAACGTATATAATTACAGGGTGATTTCAAAGTCACTTTTCTAACCTTAAAAATTTGTTTTATTTTTGGCCTTTCTAGAGTAAATTGCCTCAAGAATCATGGTAGAAACTTGAAAATTCACTGAATTAGTTTGTAAATCTATCGACCAGTAGAGAAGGTATTGAGAAGAAGTATCAGTGGAAATCTCGGGATTTCGACGTCACTCAGTGCTCTGGATAAGTGAAATTAATTCATACCAAATATTCTAGCTTTCGTATTTTTTATTCTATTTCAATGATAAGAACCATTTTTGATCTAATGTCTGTTTTTTTAATTTAAATTTATCGAAAATATACAAGTGGTTTTGCAAGGCCTTCTTGACGCTGTTACATAGCTACTTTTTCGGATTATAGAAAAATACCTGATTTTTCTGGAAAACTGTTAAAGATAAGTATGGACAACTTTATATCAGTCGAAAGGGCATTCAATTTTGCATTCACCCATGACAATATGGGTCATTCCATTTAAAAAATAGTTTTTCACCTCGTAGGATTATTAAGTGTAGGTCTCAGTATTTCCGAGTCTGAATAACGTAGGTACACGTTTTGCTCGCAGATGACAAGATATTTATGCCAATACGAACTGTGAAAACTGCAGATTTCTAACTCTTACAGTTTAGACGCTATCTAGCCTCATTTAGAGAGCTGAAATAATTGTGATTTTCTTCAAAAACAACTGATTATCTCGAAAACGGTAAGTTTTAAACACAATGTACATTTAATAAACTCTACCTAATATTAACCAAGGAATTAAAAAAGGCATTGGCTCAGAAAATTTATTTCCTTTTGAGAGGTATGCCCTCTTACTGTTCCTTAGACAATTTAAAATTCCTACGCTAATGATTTTTTTTTAACTGTTGATATTTTTTTGTACTTATAATTGTATTCCGAAAAAGAAGTTCTTAAAAACCCAGTGGCCTCGAAATTCAGGGGTTACTGATGACAATAGCAACTCCACTACCAATTGAATTAATATTTGTATTTAATTAACTAATTTATTAGTCCAAGTCCCGCGTATTTACAACAAATATCTTCATATGCATAAATATGATTTGTTTTTAAGCCTCAATGCGCTATATATTGAAAACCAGTCCCTTTAGATCTCTTGTCCATTAAGGTTTTTTGTTTTAAAATCAACAACCTTCTGAAGATAGGACACTGACTTAAAAAACACCTTGTATAATAAAATAATAACTATACCACAAACCAAATAGTTTCTTTAATACAATGAAATTATTACCATCGCAACAAAAGTTAAAATATTAGTATTTAGAAGCAGAAAACGATGCATGACCTTGGTCTGCGTTATGCCCTGGTATTTACTCGCATTAATTTATTTTCTAGAAAATAAATTACTTGTATCCTATGCAGAACTCGATGTGTGTTCATTGATTAATACATGTTTGTTACGTGATAGGAATGAAACGTTTCCTGTACCGACATTGTTTTTATTTATAGATTATCAGCATTGCCGAGATAGTATTCGGAACCTACATGTTGATAAATATGTACAAAATTAACAGACCGGAAACCCTAGGTGAAATGTATATTGCAATACCGTCCCTGTCACTGATTCTTTTTGGAATAGCTCTCCTGCCCTTGATTATTTTAGGGTGTTGTGGGTATTGCAAGGAAGTCGCTTGCTGTGTCAATATGGTGAGTATAGATGCTGGAGGCTGTCACTTTTGACCTTCCATCTCGTAAATGATAGAGAACAGGATATTTTTTTCCCAGAAATGTAATTTACTGCTTTAAAACTAAATATGCCTAGATATTGGGTCTCATGAGTAAAAGCTAACTACTGCTCTTACTACATAAGCAAAACCTACAGTAACTGTAATTATTACTTTGAATTACTTGCTTCCTACTTATAAGTAAAAGCAATAGTTTTGGTAGAAGAAAACTTCAGCTAACAGTCTGCTAACATGAATAAAACTGAGTTGTTACTAAGTATTTGTCTTTAGAATTTGCTTCAATAACACTGTATGTAGGTAACTCAGTAGCAGGCTTCTGTTCAATTTGGCACATTTGAACGCGAGAAGTATGCACTAAAAGAAATCATCCAAGTAAGGCTTTTTGCTAGGATATTTTAGTATTTTAGTTTACAGTTACATTTTAGCTACAGTTAATTAAATATTTGCAAGGACCACAAAACAATGATGTTGCCATAAGAAAATGCGTTTTGCTAAAATGTATTTGCTGTCACAACAAAAGAATGTCCGTCCGCTCACTTAGAATTATATTTTATTCAACTGTCGGTTTGTCTCAAGTGAATTGCTCTGCTAGGGTATTTATTTATTTATTTATTTATTTATTTATTTATTTATTTAAAGTACAGCTGCCCAGACAGATACAAATCCAATTAAAGGGCAGGAGAAACAATAAACGATTACATAAAAAAGCATAATACATGAAAAATAGATTCGAACATACAAGCTTAATTACATAACTGGTATATAAGTGAATGTATGTTTTATTCGGATTAAAAGTAACACTTGGCAAAACGGGTTAAGAGAAGACAGATGAAAAAAGTGCTATTATATTCCTCGTGAACAAAACAATACAAACATTGTTTAGGCTTCAGTTTCTTTATTCTGTTGAATATCAGTTTATTTTGGTTCACTGATACAAACAAATAACAACATCGCCAATATAAATTTTAGTTCATAAAGGCAAGATAGTATAACCAAAACATAAAGTAATTGTTATTTATGATAAGGTTTCTAGTCCAGCTAAAGCAAATACAGAAATAATTTGTATTTACAGCTAAAAAATTAAAGTGTTTCTGGATTTTTTTTTCTTTGACACATTGAAACCTTCTCTTAGAATATACCTTTTTTGTTAGATTTCAGTAAATTTCCAATATACGCAAAAGTTTTTCTAATGCGACTTAATCATGTCATTGTCTAACTAAAAGAATTTTTTTACGTTAGTTCCAATCCAATACCTATTGGAAACAGATTCTGTTTAGCAGGACACTTGTTTTCAGTCATGGTTAACTTCATCCCCTATTTTATTTAAAAAAAAAAAACAGCTATCTCAAACCATTTATAATACATATTTTTGTGTATTGATTTGGGAATGTAAATTACAGTTATTAAGCTTCCCACAGAATACATTCTGATAATAAAGCGGGTGATTACAATGCATTACCATCAATGCTACAAAGATTACAGTCTCTTGGAGTCACTGACTGATGCTTTTGCATAAAGTAAAACGTATTGAAGATAATAATTATCTAAGGTGATAAATGCAACGCGTTTCGGTTGCAATACTGGCAGCAAAACTGTAAACAAAATGCATTATCTTCTTTTTTCTTCTTAGGCCATGTTATTTGATAGATCTTAAATGTACCACATATCAATAAATTCTCTCTTTCCGAGTGGATATATAAAAATGTAAATATGAAAATAAATCTCTAAAATGTGAGTTTTTGTGATGGATTAAAAATGTATTTATTTTTAGTACTCAGCAGTTTTACTGGTGCTATCTATCCTGCAAATATTGATAGGAGTATTTGCCATCATTACATTCAGGTGGTCCAATGCTGGTTTGATCGGTCAAATCCAAGAAGATTTTAAGTATTCATTCAAACATTTCCAGAAAGATCCGTTATTCCTTAATACTGTACAAAAAGAGGTAAATATACGTATCTACGGCTACTTTATATTAAAAACAATTATTTGATAACTAGAACACTAAATTTGTTAATATAATTCAACGCTCTTTTCACAGATGCATTGCTGTGGTCATACCTCACCCGCAAACTGGGCGAATCAACTGCCCAGTTCTTGCTGTGGAGATAACGAAGTTAAATGTGAATTTAATTCAAACTTTTTGTATGAGAATGGCTGCACTATCGTAGTAGTTGGCTACGTCGTGTTTTATAATCTTATAATAGGATATGCTTCAGTAGTTTTTGGAGCACTAGAGGTAAAGAAATGTTTTTGAAGGATATAAATACTCACTTGTTTTTGAATCATTTCTAAACTATAAAAAAAACTACCATAGTTCATTCTTAGATTCTTTGCAATAACTGATAGATTTTCGTATGTTTATTTAAATGTATGGGACTGGTTCAAGAGTAAACAGTATCTAATTATCACAGGAATCAACTAACTGTATTTGTGGTTGCAGATCTTATGACGCTAACATTTGAAGACGGCTGTAAATTTTATTACGAACATTTATGTTACAGGTGCTTGTGACCATTTTGGGTTTTTCTCTGGGATGCGGAAGCTTTAAACATTATAACATGGTCTAGATTTGCGTTAAAATTTATATCTTAAGAAATAACGTAAATAAGAACACAACGGTGGAATCTACATTTCTGTTTTGTGAAATGTATTGCAACAATCAGTAATAAATATTTTTGGAAATCTGCTTTCTTTTTATTATTTCCGATTTCTATATTAGCAATTAGATGTATTTTGCTTTCGAATATAATTAATACTCCTCAAAATGATGTAAATATTTTGCATGTATAAATAAAACATTGTTAAATATTAACCGTTTAGGACCTATTCCTTTTAAATTGAGTGAACAATGTATTCGAAAAATAATATACATACATGGTATAAGGTGTTCCAATTTTAGTACACAGTCAGGCTATTTATTACAAGATGTAAATTACAGAACAAAACATGGAAGCTGTATATATGGTTGCATAGCTTATGTCGTTAACGTTTGAGAATTATTAGAAATTTTGAATTAAGAATGCGTTACAAAACTTCATGTATTATACTACAAGTAATAATAGATAATTTTGGGTTTCTATATGGGATGTGGAAAGGTTTAAAATTCATCATAAATTCATCATATGGTTTGGATTTACGTTAAAATGTATATAGTCCAAGCATTCTGTCACGGATTAATGTTAAATTTGCAGAAATTATTACCTGGACAAAAAAAATATGACCGTATAGAAAATTAAATTTTAAATTGAGTTTCTTGTTCTTTAAACTCGATCCAATATGGCGAACATGGTTAAAAAAAATCGCAAAGTTGAAAAAAACGGTTTTTCTAAAATAACTAAAAAAATATAGCACGGATTGAAAAATTTTAAATGAGAAAGTTGTAGGTTTTAAAAAGATCTATCGACTGATTTTTTGAAAGTATCGATTGCTTTGTTACTTTTCGAGATATATCGAAAAAACCGTTAAAAATCTTCTCTTTTCTCTTCTTCTATAACTCGTTTACATTTACGTGCCCATATTTGCTATTTACTGCAAGCATAGCCCGCGGCAAGCCAAAAAAGTACATTTTTGAAAAATTTAAAAATATTAATTATTTTTCGAGATATATCGATTTTTTGAAAAAAAGGCGCTCTCGAAAATTGGCCAGATCTTCTCAGCGGATAGCCCTACAGTAACGATTTTCGGTTTATTTTCTTCGTAAAGAGTTATATTATCATACTGTTAAAAAATGTTGACGATTTTATTAATTTTAAGGATCAAAAAATGACTGAAAATGTTGCACTTTTTTTGGGTATGTTTTTTTCAAATAACTATTTCAATTTTTATTATTTTTTTGTACTTAATCTGGGGTAGCTAAACACGAATATTATAGCATTTTCGCCTTAGAAGCAAAATAGACCCGTAAATGTTTAGTTTTCTTTCTTTAAAAGTCATTTTCATAAAATAAAAATTGAAATAGTAATTTGAAAAAAACATACCCAAAAAAGTGCAACTTATTCAAAGTCATTTTTTGATCCTTAAAATTAATAAAATCGTCAACATTTTTTAACAGCATGATAATATAACTCTTTACGAAGAAAATAAACCGAAAATCGTTACTGTAGGGCTATCCGCTGAGAAGATCTAGCCAATTTTCGAGAGCGCCTTTTTTTCAAAAAATCGATATATCTCGAAAAATAATTAATATTTTTAAATTTTTCAAAAATGTACTTTTTTGGCTTGCCGCGGGCTATGCTTGCAGTAAATAGCAAATATGGGTACGTAAATGTAAACGAGTTATAGAAGAAGAGAAAAGAGAAGATTTTTAACGGTTTTTTCGATATATCTCGAAAAGTAACAAAGCAATCGATACTTTCAAAAAATCAGTCGATAGATCTTTTTAAAACCTACAACTTTCTCATTTAAAATTTTTCAATCCGTGCTATATTTTTTTAGTTATTTTAGAAAAACCGTTTTTTTCAACTTTGCGATTTTTTTTAACCATGTTCGCCATATTGGATCGAGTTTAAAGAACAAGAAACTCAATTTAAAATTTAATTTTCTATACGGTCATATTTTTTTTGTCCAGGTAATAATTTCTGTAAGCATTTCTCTATAATGCTTGGACTAATATCCTCGAAGTTAGAATGCGAGCATATTTCCATTTCAAAGACAAAATCGCACACTATTAATTAACCATGACATTTCTTTATTTTTGACAACAATCTTTTTATATTTGACGTGAAGGTTAACACATAGATGCGACACAGAGCATTCTTAAAGCTTACAAGCCAAATATCCAATAAATGTTGTTCATTTTCCCTCACAATCAATTCAGAAAAATTTTAATCACTATAGTTCTTTTGACTCCTGCTATTGAACGAGATATTTTGTTTTTCTCTTCTTCATATCCTGATGCTACATATCACTCTTCCATTTTCCATGTCTTTTCAATGTTATCGTATCTGCACCTGCATCTACGAGAAGAGTTGCCGATGTATGACGCAAACAATGACCTGTGTACATCTTAGCATCTGCGTAGCCGAGATATTTTGCAGTCCTGGAAGCTATGCTACGCTAGCTATGCTATGGAAGATATTTTTGCCTACTGGTTGCACAGTACATCGACCATTCCGATATGTCAGAAAAAACCGCCCTCCTTTAATTTCTTTAGGTCGCAAAGATATATACTGTGGATACAATTGGAGAGCGTGCATTTCATTTTCTTCCACAACAGTAAAAGATTTTGGTACTCCAGTTTTTGTTAATTTTTACTACAACAACGATTCCTTTGTCATTTATATCACCTATCGAGAGCTTTACCAACTCATCTCTTCTTAATCCTCCAAAAACACCCTTTACTAGAACAACCTACAATAACAAAAACTTAAGCACGTGCAATAATATAGCCAGTTATTTCCTATATTACCTTTTCAAAAGGATATGTATATGACTTGATGTTTCTCTAATAAATTTCAAAATATTCTCTCTTGTCAATATCTTAGATTTTTTTGGAATATATCTTCGATATTTGCTTCAAATAAGCCTCTAATCGATGATATTCTCTTATAAGTATTTACTTTTCTGCCAATTAGGCTGAATGATTCTTGCTGAAAGATATTTAAAAAATATAAATTATCAAAAATTATAAATATTTCTTTAAAATGTTAAAAGATAATACACATCAGTTCTTGGAAATATCCCATTAATATAGTTTCACTAACAGCTGTCACTGAATTTATGCTTGTCCAAGTCAAAACGTTTATATTCTTTATCATAAATAAAGTAATTTAGATTTCTTAGGCAGTACCTAATTCTTCATTGGCTTTATTGGCTCTAGCAGCCAATGCTGCTGAAGTATTATCCGTTCTGCCTTTTCAATATGTCGCCTCAGAATCAAACATCAAACTATCAAAATCAACAAATTTGCAGGTGTTATAAATCTTGGATACATCGTTTATATATTGAAAAACTGTTTTCTTTCTCATTTACATTTAATTATTAAATTTAAAATAAATAAAATCAGATGTCTAAGTAAAAAATAAAACGTTGTATGCATCACGGGAGATACTAGGATGATTATGCCCTTAGGCGACTTGCAACTTGTCTCCTGCGGACATAATTATCCCTGTATCTCCCTTGGTACATAAATAACTATTGGAACAGCAGTTTTATTTCCTTCGCATTGGCAATTAAATTTCGGTAAAATTAAAAATTATTAAAACAATATGATCAACCGGCTGGATTGGTTTAATTTCTCAAGACATTCTAGTCAACCAATCGTCAATTGCTTTATTTCGAGCGTAGACGCAGCGGTTTCTTATTGTTCATTGTAAATCAATCATTATACCTATCATAAATCAAATTTTGCAACTGCCCTTTTTAACTTTTAAGAACTAACTTTTTTTTTAAGAACTGCCTTTTCGGTTAGAACTAACCCTTAGATTATGTGTTGAAAGAAGTATAGATTATAGATGGCATTTTACATAGTTTTATCACTTTTCGAAAGTATGAATATTATTTCATTTAACACCCCGTACAGATTGTCGCTAATTTAATTTTCAAAAGTAACGTTTTTCCGCCTGCCAGAAGATACGTACACTCGCTTGCACAATACTAAGTCATAGCGGGAAAAACGATATAATTTAAAAGAATATACAGCCTGACTAATAGCAAAAAAGTACAGTGATATTTCAACGAAGCAATACCTACCGATACTCTGTCCGATCTTTCTGGGAAAATGACGCAGTTACAAACGCGAAGGGGAGAGGCAGAACAACAAAACAAAACTTGTTTTCAACCTCACGGTCCTCACACCGAGTTGTGTTCTGCAGACAACAGAGAACGAGAGAGTAACGCAACCGCTCTTAGTTTAGCTACAGTGTAATTGGGGTTACTACGTGTTTACCCACTAGAATACCGAATTTCAGTCTCCAGTGCTGCGTGTTAGGACACCAACCGAAAGCTTTATAGTGTTAAAAAGTTCGTCTGGTGCAAACGACTAAAGTGAAAACATGGGGTGTGCTACAGGCATGGTGAAGTACCTGGTTTTCCTGGCCAATTTGATATTTGCGGTGAGTTCATCACGGTTATTATTTTTGAATTTGACGCAACAGGTGATTAACATTTACAAAGGATGTTTTAATGTTATAATAGGAAGCACCGCGAAGTTAATCGTTTTTTATTAGATTTAATGCGTCTGTTACATGATACATGATGCCAGACCACAAGCTGAGGCCACTTGGGTCAGACAGAGATAGAGAAAGGTATAAATAAGTGTGTAGGTACCTAGATTTGCTAAATAAAATGCAGTTAATTGTATACTGTAGGAAGATTGTAGGTGCCTCTGGGTACATATAACGTAAATACATTAATAATGCATTGGCCGTGATTTTTCCATACAAGTATTTTTATCGCGAGAACTTAGTATTAAAAATTAATAGGTAATTCCCGGAACCCGTGCGGGAAAAATTGACCATTTCCATTGTTTCATATTTAAATCTGTTTTATTTATATACGCCTTCCTATTCTACGTAGTTTTTCTAATTTCTGTATTACACACATAAAAAATAGACGAAATTGCAAAATATGACGTCATAATTATTTGTGACTTAAGAAAATAATAAATTGCGCCTTGATGAATGATGAATTAATGGGTATTTTGTGATTTTTACTAATATACCATGGTTTTAAGACTACTTATTGTTGTTACCTACCCATTAAAAAAGAGTTGTTTGTTTAAACAATTTTTAACTACCTAGATTTGTCGAAAATAATTGATATACTTACTTAAGTATTTTTGTTCTTATTAGATATTCATTAAGTAATTCTAAAGAACAGGCTTTTCTAAAAATGTTTTCGCCATAAAATTTACATACGCTTTTGAATGCAGTCTATAACTGAAAGTTTTACCCAGAAAATACCACTTTGGAAATATTAGTCACGTTTGAATACATATTAAATTTTTGCTTGGTGATGTCATTATCTTACTCGTCGCATCAGAGGAAAATTCTACCACAGCATATTACGTTACTTATGTTTTATATCGTGAGAAGATTGTTAGTTTAAGATAAAAAACAGTGGTCGAGAGTGATACAACTTAGCTGGTAAACAAAGCAACCGAGTGGTAAAATAAAATCTGTTCAGCAAACTAAGCAAATTTCTGTCCTGGTTGGTTTTGTGAGCTTGGTTTGTACTGGAAAAAAATGGGATAGAAAGTAATGAAATATTTTTATAATTTTTAACATTAACATATCTGCAAGAGGGAAGCCGCTGATCGTGTAAACTAAAATACCCACTTTCATAATTAATTAAGTACTTGCTCAAGTATTACTCCAATAATGGAAAGTGGCGGGGAGAGGGGAAATACAACGCCATGCGGTTGTCGTATGTGTGACGTAAATAATAATTTTAATACACAAATATTACTAAAGTATTTTCCTCCTCGTGCAACTTTCTAGATATTGTCTTTTAATTTGATAATTTGAAATATTTCTTACATTTAATTGGTATTACTGACTTTGACTTCTGTCGTACCTATTTTTTTACTTAAAGCATATGCATATTACTGATGACATTGACAGTCATGAAAGAAACAGTACTTACTGCAATGGTACAATTTTACCAAGACCTTTGATATGTATTCTCATCCATTCTTCAGACTTGTTTGTTGGTTTAGCATGAAACAAAGCTTGATCAATCATATTTACGGGACCGTACGCAAGCTATTCCGCAAGGTTCTGTTCTAAAACGTGTATTATTTAACATGTATTCACATATCTACTTCAGTATGTTTTTATAAAAACTGATACTTGAACTGGCACAACCTGTATAATATATGCCTCTGTAGTAGTGTCCTCGATGTATTATGGGGTTTTGCATCTACAGGAAAATCCGTCATTGACCCCAAGGATTTACTATTGGAAACGGACGCCTAAAGAATCACTTATTGTTATTACATGTGCCAGCGCGTTTACTAGTGTACATCGTTGTTTTTTTAATGCAAATTTGATCGTGATCTCAGGGAGACTATTTCCAGCACGTGCACCGAGTTTCAATGTCACATTTCGCCAAATGGGACTGCATAATGATAAATGGCATAATAACTAATTATAGGAGCTCTTCATGTCCAAGTAACGCTTTGAATACGCCATTGAGATTTTCACATGAAAGGATTTATGGTCTACAGGGTGACTCATACTTTTCTCTTCATAGCCACTTTGTTGAGATTATTTAAAGGAGTTATATTTGTAGAAGTACTTCAGAATCAATATACTGAGTGCCTTTGCAGTAAGAACAATAATTGCACTTCAATTTAAAGAACTGGAAAAAGTCGATTGAGAGTCTATATTATTTTAATTTTTAGAAATTGATCTGGTGTTGAACTGATACAGTGTTCTAACAGAATTTTGGGAAAAAGTATTGTTTGTAAGTAGGTTTTTCATCTAGTAGCACGTGGTACCAGATCGCGTCGTCTTTGGAGTTTTGCGTAGATTCTTCGAAACATCTGCGATTTTTTAAAAATCGATAAAATCGAGTCATGAATACTGATTGATGAGCGTATTGGAAACATAGGCGATTTCGTATCTAAATTTTTCATAGAGTTTTAGAAACCTCTGATCAAATTTTCGATACCTAGATATTTCTAATCGGTTGCAATATCCTATTTTAGACGAATTTTTCCTCTGATAATATCAATAATAGAAAAAAATGCTTCAATTAATGCCCCAGTTCTTTTGAACGTTATTTAACTTAATTTTTTTAACGGAATACTTTGTATATTATTTAATTTTTATTGAATTTCAGGCCCATTTTGACAAACTTACATTGGATGTATAACGTACTGTTTAGGTGTTATTTGATATTAAAAAAAAAATTTCGTTCCTAGGATCCTCTAAAATATCAAATGTCTCTATAACTAAACGTAACAACGAGATCCGATTGCACTAATGACTCATTCATGAGAAAAGCCTTACATACACATTAATATATTTCAACAAAAAAAGTAAGTCCGTGAAAGTAAATATATATATTTTAATGGACCCCTGTGCTGACAGAATCAAATGTAAAATTTAAATCTATTTCGGTTTTTTAAGCTATATTTCTTGTTGTTTGCGAGGTATTCGAAGTTCTTCATATTTTTTTTGTTACTGTGCCAGTGATAAAAAATGAACGCCAAGTTAATAGCACTGTTTTCAATTGAAACCAGTAAAAATAATGGTTTAAATCAACATGTTTTATTTTTACTAGCTGGACAGATCTCCCGATCTAACAAAATCTTACTTTCGTAGATTTATAACTAGTAAAATGTACTGGGCATTAAGATATGCAAAATCGTAAAACACAGGCTTCCTGAGATTTTCTTGAAATTTTTATGTTTTATTCTTTTTTAAGGCCCTGTGCTGACTTAATAAGATAATATTCTCGTAATATTCCCAAAAAAATATATTCGCACAATATTTTGTACTATTTAAGTAACTACTACATTAAATATGCTCAATCATCATTTCCATAGGAAATTAAATTTTGCATCTGTCTGCATCAAATTTATTGATTCTATTAAAAAAAATTAAATATGCGTTATTGAAAATTTTAAACTTCTAAGGTTCATAATCAGTATTTTTCTATTTGGATTTAGGTAAAGCAGAATATAGGATCTTCATTCTTGAATGAATGGGGAAAACCTTATATTATTATAGTGTATATTTGATATTTTCGAAGATAAAATCCATTTTTTTTATAACATCGAAACCGTCAGTAGATTTCAGACTCAATAATCATTAAAGTAGACCTTAGAATAAGCGATATATAAATTGAATAAAAACACTTAGAAAACATTCACATTGAAATGTGAAAAAAAATATTTATTTCGTCCTAAAAAAATACCCTGTATAATGAAAGTGGTCTTGTCCAAAAATAATCATTACCACCGCTAACACTATATTAGACAAGCTTAATTAACGTGTTTTATGGCCATTATGATTCATCTATTGTCTGATTTTGTAGATTTCATTTTTGTTACTTAAATCGTCAGCAACTGTTACTGAAATTGTAACTGATTTCCACCGGCCATATCTCTTGATTGCTAATACATCAACTCCTGTAACATTGCCGATGTTCTTCGGAATGAATGGCCTGTATATGTTTCAGGATGTTCTAGTTTCAAAAACTGTGCAATCTTATTAGGAATCATAGAAAGGGTGTTCTTGCCGACTGGTTAGTTGTAACATCTACCTGCTTGATAGTGCTTAAAAAAGCATACATTTCAGTTTTAATTTCCAATATATTCTTGATATATTTCTTGAGAATTTCTAGGTGAGAAACAGAACCCAGACGAGAAGTAATTGTAAACGTACGTGACATACCATTTTTAGAATCTGGAATTGTAATTACAATAATGTCATCGAAATTTGCATAAGGCATATTTGGCTTAGTCGACTTATTTTGGCCACCTTTAGGTCCTTTACTTTCACGTTGAAAATAACCCTCAACCAACCACAAACTATCTTAAATAGAATTTTGATTGTAAGCGTTGCGACAGCAGTGGTTTACTGCGCAGGATTAATTAGTCACTAGTTCCTCTTTTGGCTCGTCACACATGATAGGCCTACAAAGGAAGACGTGTGACGTCACTATATAGCGATAAAGCAACTGGTTCTTCCCTAATTAATATTTTAACCGTCATTTGTTTAGAACTAACTATTCGTAAATGAGTCAAGGTTTATTAATTATCGTTTCGGAATAGGTATTGTGCAAGAATTACAACCTCATCGAACACTGGGGATTTACAAACAAATATGAAACGAGGGATTTTCTCCAGAATGTGAGATCTTCCACATGAATGATCATATTTTTTAGTATTTTAATCTACTTTTATCTTGTGTTAATAAAGTTTGGAAATAATTAAAATAATATAGTGTTAAATGCAATAATTAAAATATACCTATAATAAAAATACTTAAAGATGCCATAAAAAGAACAACAATCATAAATGTCAAAAACGTATAATTGAAATGAAACATACTGTTATGATGGTTTAAACATTTAAAATGGTTGTAAGAGATTTCTTATGTGC